TGTTCCTCAGTTTGTGAACTGATTACAAATACTTTATATCCAATGGTGTAAGTGCTTGGAAAAAGTGACATTTAATCCATAAACATTTTAGCAATAAGACTTTCATTCACAGTTTTATTTATTTATTCTTAAATACAAAGTTTAAAGTGAAACCTCAAACAAAACCCATCATTTGTGTATCAGAACTTACTCAAGACTCACCTCATGTAGGCTTGAATGGTAACCATAAAAAGAAACCTTTCAAACCCCCCCAAAGTTGTACTGGAGTAAAATTAGAAGTGAAAGTAATCACAAAGATAAACATATACATTCCATAAGTACTCCATAGTAAAATAATTACTCTGTTACTTTACACCCACTGAATAGACTGAAGGAACTGTACAGAACAGTAAAAAAGACTCAATGGTTTCTCATACATTAATATTGAATTTGTACTATGACATTATGTGTTAAACAGAGGAGTATATTTATCATCTGTGTTTCCTTCAGGAGGAGACACCACTCTTTCTGGCAGCCAGAGAAGGCAGCTTCGAGGCAGCTCAGGTTCTCCTTGACCACTACTCCAACCGTGACATCACTGATCACCTGGATCGGCTGCCCCGTGATACTGCTCAAGAACGAATGCATCACGACATAGTCCGCCTGCTGGACCAGTACAATTTGGTTCACAGTCCACACAACGGGCCTAACCACATGGGTGGAGGAGGGAACTCTGTTATGTGTGGGGCCAATGGAGCAGGCTTCATCGGCATGCGCCCCGGACCACAGGGGAAGAAGAGCAGGAGGGGTGGAGGTGGGGCAAAGGTTGGAGGTGTCGGTGGGGGAGCTAAGGAGTTAAAAGACATGAAGGTGAAGAGAAGAAAGAAGCCTGCTGGAGGTGAGGGGCCAGGTGTGGGTGCTGGAGTGGGAGGAGGAAGTGGAGGAGGTAATGGAGGAGGGAGTGCAAATGGTGTCAAGGCAGCAGGAGGACTTCCAGAGAGCTCTGTCACCATGTCACCTGTTGACTCCCTGGAATCACCACACTCATACACAGGCGATGTGTCCGGCACTGTCTCCACAACAGCAAACTCCCCTCCCCTCCTAAGCAGCCCCACCTCCAGGCCAATGCTGCCCCCTGTCAGCCACATGCTGGGACAGCAGCAGGGCTGGGTGGGCATGACCAAGCATGGCTACAGCGGCCACATGTTCGGCCTCGTACCACATCAGATGGGGGGATCTCACCCTGGCATGGGCCAACACCACGGCCAGGGCCCGATGCTGACCCCTATGAATGTCACCATGACTAGAGAGCAGCTGCCGCCCATTGTCACATTCCAGATGATGACTCCTGGAGGAGGCCAGGCTATGCTGAAGCAATCACAGCCGGGACAGGTACAAGTCACACAGTCCCAAGGGCAGAGCCAGGGTCAGGGTCACCCTCAGCAGACGCCAGGCCACCTCCACTGCACCCAGAGTATGATGTACCAGATGCCTGAGCAGATGAGCATGACACACGGGCTCTCCCACACCCTGCAGCACCCCCACACTGTCAGCCACGGGGGCCATGGAGGAATCGAAGGCCAGTCTCGACCACTGCCCTCATATGCACCCATGCAGAGTCCTGTGGATAAATACCCCACGCCCCCCTCCCAGCACAGTTACGCCACTGCTGGTTCAGAGGGAACCACCCCTGGCCACTCTGCCCACCCACCCAGTGAGCACCCGTATCTCACCCCTTCACCAGAATCCCCAGACCCTTGGTCGTCCTCTTCGCCGCACTCCAACTCAGACTGGTCCGATGTCACCACCAGCCCCACCCCTCTGGGGAATCCCCACCATGCACTGCCATCATCACACCACACACACATTCCAGAGCAGGTGCAGCCGCAGCCGCAGTCACAACAGATGCAGCAGGCCTCTCAACAGTCCCAGCTTGGAAACATGCAAGTGTTTGCGTAGGCTGGCTGGGAGAAGCAAACAGACTGACTTTGGGGTTCTGTGTAGTTTTATGACAACACATAATAACTCATTCAATGCTTTTCTCACCTTTTTCGTTCATTTTCTTTGTATGTTCTTCATTATTATTATCAATCACCTCCCCTTTTATGTTTTCTTCTCCTCTTTGCACTTAAGAAAACTGTGTGTATAGTTTCTAAAACATCATTGAGTATTATCAACTAGATATCAAAAGTTCTCAATACCAAAAATCATGGAGTTAGTTATCTGTCCCAAGCTAAAATCAGTTTTTTCATGTAGTTCCTTCGATCCCAGCTGGACATCCTCTGCTCTCTTTTTGCTGAGTCAAGGACTTCTCGTTTTGGCACCGAAACGCAAACTGTTTATTGAGGGATCATCGAGGAACTGCCAACCAGATGGCGGTCAGCTGGTGTTGCATCAGAAAAACAGACTGTTGAGACGGACACTGAGACAGGACTGCAGACATTCTGCGTTGATACTGTCTGTTTTGGAGACAATTTATAAGACAAGTTATTTCTTTCTGCTATATGCTATCCTTATGTGTTGTTTAATGTGATGAGCCTGCCAATACTAACTCCTTGTTGAAACCATTCACTCTACTTTTTTTTAAATACAATGGGTCACATTCAGTTAATGCTTTTATTCTCAAAGCAGAACTACCTAGTTGTTGCCATATTGTTTTTTATTCAAATATTGTTTTTTACTGTGCTAAAGTGGGAATTTTATAAAAGGCTGTTGCATGATTAGGAAGACAAACACCAAGAAAATTACAGAGTAGAAAGACGTGCACATAAAGGCATTTTGTTTCCTAACACAGTGGATTTAACATATTTCGAAGGCGGTTTGAATGTACACATTCATATCCTGTCTTGTGATCACAATTGGTGCGTATATACTTCCTGTGTTGTTGAGGGATTAATTCAGAAGCTTGACAAACTTTATGCAAAAACAAACATTAGTTTTGTCACACTCACTGTTACACTTGTGCCACCGGGTTTAGTTTGTTGTATGATGAAATGTACATAGACGTATAGCACATTCTGCTTGTTGTTACTGAGCTTAATTTGGCAAAGACTTGTTGACTTTTTAAAAATGTATGTTTATGTTTTGTTTTTTTTATATGAATACTGTGCGCACTTCTTGAATGATTCTGAATGTTACAGAGGTGCATGTTTTTACCTTTAAACTGCCTCTTTTCTAAATAATTTCTCTTCCAAAATCATTTAACCAGTTTTGCCTTTTGCTTAACTACAATCAGTGTATCTCTACACCTTTTTAAATTGTCATTACTCATAAACCAAGTCTGGAGGCAAGAAAGGTTTAATATGAGGGTTTTTTTTGTCTTCCTTCTGTTGATGTTGAGCATAGCTTTGTGTGACTGCTCTGTAAACACAGACAATCATTCACTATTTTACTTTTGAAACCTAAAAAAGGAAAATCAGTCGTCTCTAAGACAAAATGTATCTTTATTCAGCCAAAAATGTACACCTAGTCCAAATTTCTGTCGGTTGTTGTCTCTGTTTGCGAAAATCGTGCAATCTCGAAACAGTGAGACACGCAGCACACATCCTGTAGCAAGAAGTGTTGCCTTTGTTTTGAATTACTACTGTATGTATCTCAGTAAATGAACCAAATGTTCCCAGTACCTGACTTTTCAGGGCTTTATTCTCTGTACTTAAGATGTACCTGCAGTTTCATAAACAAATGCTGTACATTGAAGTGTCAGTCAACATTTTTAACAAGAATTGCGCATGTTAGTTCCCGTACATATGCCAAGGCTATGTGTCTGTTCTGTATATAAAATGTTTTTTTATTGTACCTTCCTCTGTTAACCAAATAGCCTATAATATACATGGCATATGAAGTAGTTGTCACAATGTTTATATAAGGTAGACTAAAACTGATAAAATAAGTTGTCTGTTGGAAAAAAAACCCCAAATGATCAACCAAATGTGCTTTCTAAAATAAAGCCCAGATCTTCATAGATTTCTGCACTTGTCTTTTTTTTTTTTAATGGACTGTGTTTTCTCATCATTTATATGGATGTTGTTGGTGTTAATTTTGAGTCAATTTATAATTTAAGCCTTAAACAGATGCTGTTGATTCAATCACATAGCACTTTCTTTCTTCTGCCAAATTAGTGCTCAGTCCTTAAAAATATGACTTTTTATTTTATATTGAAAGTATAATAAGATGACGACAGTAACTTGATTCCTTTAGTAAATATTATTGTACCAGTGTGCTTCAGAGAAGTATCTGCTTCCTAAAAGTTTTTGTACTTTCAAAACAACAGAGAAATGAACAGTCGATTCCATGGATAGTCATGGGATGTATTTTAAATTGAATTTTATTCAAAGATAACACCAATATTCAATTTACTCTGAAATTAGTTATTAGCAATATTAGTAACAAATCATCAAAGTCATAGTTCTTTTCCTATAAATCTGTATCATTCTGACACTTGAAATTAATGCAGTAGGTGTGGGTCATTAGTTCAGTCTTGCACTTTCGGCCCTGCTATCATGTCTGACAGCGTTCTACAGTGCAGTGTCAACATATTGATAATACAAGCTGAAAAACATTAGTATGGCAAAGTTCCAGACAAAAACACACTTTGGGCAAATTTTGCAACTTTAAACATATTTTAAATTTTTCAGTGTCATCACTGAATTACATAACATGTAAAGGTACTATAATGCACAACATGGAACTGGACATTAAATACACCGTCTGCTTTAAAAATGTGTAAAGTGTGATTTTGACCACCAGGTGCTTTTTTTTTTTTTTTTTTTTTTTTTGATTTGCAAGTCCAAAAATACTTAAAACCAGCTCTGTTAGACATGGAAAGTCTCCCTAATCAAAGCAATCAAAAGCCCAAAACAGGCCTTTGTTAATAACACTATAGATAGATCAACCCCTTCACACTTCATTTGACTACTGATTACTGTGTAATGCATATAAGCAGTGTAGTTTGTTTCCAGACCAGCAGGTGGCCCTAAATCTCACAGGAAGCCTTGACGAAGAGAAGAGAAAGAAATCTGTACACGGAAGTTATTCCGGACTGTACATGTTTGAGGTTTTTCCTTTCAGGAGTCTCTCTCTCTCTCTCTCTCTCTCTCTGTCTCTCTCTCTCTCTGTCTCTCTCTCTCTCGCTCTCTCTCTGTAAATTACTTTTTCCTCCTCTGGCGGTCAGTTAAACCGTAATGGCGGTGAACGCTGCGGCAGTGTGTGTGAGGAGCCTGAACAGATAGTGTGCAGGTATCAGCGCACGGTGGATCACCACAAGGGCCAATGGACGCCAGGAGCTGAAGTGCAGCTGTTTTGACAGCTGGGTTGAGCCTCCAGTACCTGGTCTGTGAGTCTGACAGAGAAAGCTGCCGAGACCAGACAAGACCCGAGCTCTGAACACTAGAGAGGGGTTTTGTTTTGTTTTGAGACATTTATCTACGTCTGTCAAATTGCTTTTAAGGCGCCATTGAAGGAAAGGAAGAAAGGTGAGAGCTGCTCTCAGTCAGCGACTCCTCCTTGAGTAAACATCTCTTTTTGTGTCTAAAAATCTTCCTCCAGTCTTCACTGTGGTTCTGTGTTTACCTCCCAACATTAACTTCACTTCTAACTACTTCCACTGTATCTTTTGTGGTCCATTTTTCCCTTTTCTGTCGCCAGCGACCCACCGACCTCTGGCCATGGCTTCTTCCCGGCTGAAGTACCTCTCTCTGGGCGTGCTGGTGTTCCAGACCACCTCCCTGGTGCTCACCATGCGGTACTCCCGCACCCTGCAGGCCGAGGGCCCGCGGTATCTGGCCTCCTCAGCTGTGGTGGTGGCCGAGGTCATGAAGATCCTCACGTGTGTGTTGCTTGTCTTCAAGGAACACAGTGAGTGCACGTGGACACAGTCAATGTCACCTTAGTCATATGGCTGCAAATAACCCACAGTTGTCATTTTTATACTATATTATATTAGTAATAATATGAATAATTGTAAAGTCTTTGAAATGTCAGAAATTGGTTAAAATATAAATAATAATCTGATATCTTTTAATTGCTTTTGTTGTCACCAACAGCCCAATACTCTGAAATATACACACTGGAGCCTCACACTGGAGAAACTGCTCAATAAATGACTGAAATGATTAATCAATAATCAAAATTGTTGTTTAATTTTCTGTCAATTAACTAATTAACAAATTGACTCATTGACTCATACTCATACAAATATTACATGGAAAAAAAACATGAGTGAACATCAATCATAAATTACTGATAACAAGGTTAAAGGTGATGAAACAAAAAACTAAGGCTTGTTTTCATCCCACAGGTTATAGCATGCGAGCTCTGAACAGCGTCCTGCGTCAGGAAATTGCCCACAAACCCATGGAAACACTGAAGCTGGCGATCCCCTCTGGGATCTACACACTACAGAACAACCTGCTGTACGTCGCTCTGTCCAACCTGGACGCAGCCACCTACCAGGTACAGCAGAGGGCGGGATGGGTTTGAAGGCCATGTGGTAGAAAATGAATCGCAGCATGACTCAGTTTAACATGCGCAGTAGCTGATGTGTCTTTCTCAGTGCTATAACAATTAGCATGTGGTTCTTCTCCATGGATTAAATAGTTTTCTCATTTTGCCTCCATCAGGTGACATACCAGCTGAAGATCCTGACCACGGCTCTGTTCTCTGTGTCCATGCTGGGCCGCAGGCTTGGCGTCTACCAGTGGCTCTCTTTGCTGATTCTTATGGCCGGAGTGGCTCTTGTGCAGGTCAGCTTCTGGATATCTTATATGTGGTTCCCTTCGATGGAAAAAAGTTAACACCTAGAAAACAACAGTGATTTTATGAGTTGCTGCTTTTAAATGGAGACTTTTATTCCACTAATGATCAATGTTGACCAGTTTTAGGGACGTGAGCTGTTCAATAACTCCAGTAGCAGTATGTTAACAAACCGTTGCTTTGGTAGAAAGCTCATCAATGATGATGCCAAGCAGGTTTAGCTTTTTCCTAAGTTTGGTGACTGTGGATCATGTACCCAAGACACATTTGTGGAGAATCATCACTTGAATTAATCACATTCAAGAGCAGCATGAACAATAAAACTCTAGAGAAAGTCGATTAAACTTTCAACTTTTAGCAAACCACTGCAGGTTCTGTGTATCGCCTGATCTCAGCACCTCTAGACTTTTACGCTTTTGTCTATAAGGAGGTTCTCAGCACGATTATCTCTTTGAACCTGCACATTGCTTTTTATTTTAGTACAGAATTAGTTAAAAGTGACACCTGTGTGTGCAGAATCATCCTGAAAGACTTTTAAAATTCATCTTGTTAGTGCTTTTAAACGTAAGAAGAAAGAAAATGTGGCCAATTCTGTAGCTGTCACTTTGTCTTTGCTTTAATGAATGTGTGATCTCTAATTTTGTGGGCAGATAAAGAAAATAAACTCTTAATCTCTGTGGGAATTACACAGTTAAGTAAAGGTTAAATAAATAAAACAAAATAATGAGGCCTGAATGAGAACGCTGTATAAATATTGACTGTCAGTGGTTATGAGGGATGAGCTGATGAATGATGAAGTGTCAAAAAAAGAAAGACAGTTGTGAAATCACCTCCTCCTCCTCCTTGGCAAAACAAAGAAAATTCCAGTCAGGTATTATTACACCGGATGTGATCTTAATGCTGACTGAGCACTCATACAGAGGCACAGTAGACGAGGAGGAGGAGAAGGACATGAAGCTCCACCCTCATAAATCTACAGGATCAGCCAGGTAGAAACGTTCACTCCCAAACTGCTCTCAGTGTGACGAGGCTGAGTGCAGGAATGTGACTGTGGTTTATGCATGATACATCCTGAAGGCTCAAACAACAGATCATCACATGAAATGTGATATGAAGGCGCAACCATAGCAACTGTTCTGTTTGCAAACGGTATCATCTAGAAATGAAGAGCTATAAAAACAGCGAGAAGCAGCTAAGAAATAATTGGCCTGTTTTGCATTAATGCAGCGTCTCATTTTCACTTTTTTTTTTTTCCAGGTTTGAGGTGTTAGTTCTCACTCATTAGGATTGTATGTATAAAAAAAAATCTTCCTCTCACCCCCATGTGGGGTGGTGATGTGTGGCCTCCTCAAGCTCGGGTTCTCTGCCAGAGGCCTGGGAGCTTGAAGGTTCTGTGTAGTATCTTAGCTGCTGGGACTGCACTCTTCTGGACAGACACCTCAGATGTGGACTCTGCTGGAGCCACTCTCCTAGTTCGGGGGGGTCACAGCCTCTAGTGCTCTTTTTTTTTTTTTTCTCTGGGACCAATTTGGACTTCAACCTCCACATCTGTTCCAGTTGTTTTTTCAGTCCCTGGTACTTTTCAGTGCTCCTTCTTTCTGATGTTACTGTCAGCTGCGATTATCAACATCTGTCACAACTGCCCCTTTTCCGCTCCTTGTCAACCACCATGATGTGTGCTCGGTGAGCCAGCCCCTTCTGGTCAGTCTGGAACTTCAAGTCCCGCAGGATCTTAGCGCTGTTGTTCTCAACCCCTTTTGGTGGCGTGTCCCATAAATAAATAAATATATATATATATATATATATATATTTAATCCAAATGGAAAAAGTGCAATAGCTACAAAACATTTCTTACTCTGCACAACCAGACATAAGCATTTTTCTCTTTTGGCATTAAAACCCATTTTCTTGCTTACTCCAGCACATAACATAGGAACTAACACTGCAGCATTTTTACAGCTCTGCAAACTTGTGATGACGCCTTTGTCTGAATTTCAGGTTCCCACCATGATAGATTTGAGATTTGAGTGCTATTGTTAAGATTTCATTTCATTGGCCTGTTGAAAACATATGATACATATATTTTTACGGAAGATGTTGCTTGTTTTGACAGTTAGTGCCCATCAGTTTTGTTTTGCATCTTCTTGTATTGACACACTGGTCGCTTATAGCACTGTCTCCATTTGCAGCAATGATATGCTTATTCACTTGCTTTCAGAGAGTTCAAGAAGAAAGTCGATACAACTCATATTAGCTTAGCTTAGCATAAAGACTGGAAACGGGCAAACCAGCATATCTAAAGCTCAGTAATTAACACCATGTATCTTGCTCGTTTAGTCTGTACCTATACAAAACTCAAAGTGTTAAAACAAGTTGCTGGTTGTGTGCTGAGCTGATTCTTGGCGAGGCATCACTTAAATCAGTTGTTGAAACATGTAGTTCATTTTTTTTCTTAATTCCCACATTGTGTAACATTTTCAAGATGTTTCCAAGGTCAAGATTGAACTTTCAAGCACAAGGTTTATTATAAACCAAATGTTTCTCTTGTGCCTGTAGTGGCCCTCTGAGTCTGCTGCAGCTCCGGAGAAGGAGGCCCTGTCTGCAGGATCCCAGTTTGTAGGTGTGACAGCGGTTCTGGTGGCATGCTGCTCCAGCGGCTTCGCTGGTGTGTACTTCGAGAAGATCCTGAAGGAGAGCAAACAGAGTGTTTGGGTTCGCAATATCCAGCTAGGTCAGTATTCAGCATCTTGTCAAATCTGTCAACTGTTTGGACTGTTGTACGGTATACCAGGTTTTCTGACCTGTAAAATATAATTCATTGCACTGAACAGTGATGTTAAAGTGCTGAGAACAGAACTATAAAACTCTGCACAAACATTTTCTGACATTTGATTAATGCACGTCCATCAACAGAGGAATACCGTTGAGAGATGGCATTGTTGGAAACGGATTGAAAAAGAGCCCAGCGCCATGTTTCTGAAGTGAGCTCTTGTGTACAGTTTCCTTTCTTCCCTGCGCACAGAGCCAGCTGGGCTTTTTACCTCCGATACATTTCTGTAAAGATGAATGTTCCTGTCTTGTTTATTTTTACCCTGGAACGTGTGAGGCGTGTGTTAAGTCTCCTGTGATTCCTGGTGTGAGCTTGGAGCTTTTTCACCTGCATTAAATATTGGAGCCTAGACAAGAGCAGTGAAGAAAATGCTTTGCATTTTTGTTTTGGTAAGTAGTTGTAAAAGTGATACAGCAAAATGGAAAATGAAGGAAATTAAAGTTTAGTGCTGAAAAGATCATTTGGCTAATCAATCAAGATTTTTGATAATGTAATCGTTAAGGTCATTTGATAAGCAAAAGGCCAAACATTTCTCTGTTTTGTTGTGGCGTGTTTATTGAATATTTTTGGCTTTTGGACTTTTGCACCAACAAAACAAGCTGGAGATCATCATCTGGAGATTTTTCACAATTAGAATAAGTGTAGTTGAAGCCTTATAAGAGAAGTAAGCAAGAGTACATGCTGTGTAGATATTAGCAGAACAGAAATCTTTGACTGACTGATCTTTAGCTCACTCATTTACCTACTATATGTGTGTGTTTCCAGGAATGTTTGGCCTTGTATTTGGCCTTTTTGGGATGCTGGCCTACGATGGGGAGAGGGTGAAGGAGTCGGGAATGTTCCAGGGTTACAACACAATCACCTGGACTGTTGTAGCGCTGCAGGTGACTCTCACTCCACCGACAGTGATTCAATATGTGTTTCCCACCAAAACTGTCAAATATATTACCAAGCCTCTGGGGTAACAGACTCTTTAATTTGGTGGATCAGACTCCCTGTCGGCCAGTACAGGTCATGCCTTTGTCCATCTGTGTCTGTGTGTTTGTTGTTTCTCCAGGCGCTGGGTGGTCTGGTCATTGCAGCGGTCATCAAGTATGCAGACAACATCCTCAAGGGCTTTGCTACATCGCTCTCCATCATCCTGTCAACTCTTATATCGTACTTCTGGCTGCAGGACTTCGACCCCACTGGGTAGAGGAAATAGTCACTCTCTTTCCCTCCGTCTCTCCTCTGTTTATTTTTATCTGTTTTTCTTTCTCATAATCACAAATTTCTCAGGCTGATAGAGTTATCTGCTCTTGTCCACAGTGTGTTCTTCCTGGGGGCCATTTTGGTTATCGTGGCCACTTTCCTGTACGGCTATGAAGGCAAGCCGTCCCCCAACCCCAGCAGGGCGTAGGACACTCACGGCTGACACTACAGCAGCAGTAGGAGGTCTTGTTGACGCGTCGAGACGAGGAAGGGACAAAATGAGGGGGACAAAATGAGGGGAAAGGTCTTTATCATATATTGTGATCGTGAGAAGGAGGAGCAGAGGAGTAGGAAGCGAGGAGGTAAGCAGGTTGGGAACAGAGGACAGGAAAAGGGAGCAAGCACAACGCTGTGATAGGTCTCAAACACCAAAAGTGCCTCAGCTGGGAAGAGTAACCAGTGCGAAGAGAAAACTGTGGCAAAACAGGATTGTATGTTTTTCTTTCTTCCTATAATTTCTGCTGTAGAGATAATCTGAAGCTGAAGAGATATTCTCCACAGGACCGACTGATTGTGTTCATTTAGAACCTGTTTGACTGCCAGTCGCTGTTACTGCCACGTCAATCACACCTATACAATAAAGAACTAAAGAGGCAGACGGAGGAGTTTCTAAATCTTCTTCAATACCACATTTTTTAGACGTAGTGTGACTTTAGCCCAAACTGTTGGCTTGTTCACCTCGGAGTTGCAGTATTTAAGGCTCTGACGGTCTTGAGTTGTCCCACTTTGGGCCTCTGAAAGCACATTTAAGGCCTTTTTGCCCTTGAATGAGTCTTCCCAGCCGTTGTTTACTCCAGAGCTGTGTACAATACTGCAACAAGCTCTGACAGTCACATGCTTTGGGTTGCAAATGGTAAGGGTTGGCGTAGGGACCATGCTTGGTGTTAGAGCTCTGCACCAGAGGAGGGATCTGTACACCGCTTAAGAGGCCTGTCTACCTGGGAGGCACAACTCGGGGCAAAAACTGATCAGTTTTACAAGAGCCTTTAGACTATAGTAGTTGACGTCACCAGAACTAGTGTTGTTATCTAAATTATCATCGCCTCGTATGACTCTGGTCCGTCTGTAATCTGGGTGTGTGAATAAAAGGCTTAATTAATCTGACTCTTCAGAGATGCTGTTCAGGCTGTAACAGGGGGGGATATTTAAAGTAATTGATTTCTGGAATGAAAAGAACAGTTTGATTATATGGTAATTTTGTACAACTTGAAATTATGTTAACCTCTGGTGTAAATAATAGCACCATTTAAATTGTAACCAATAAATCTAAATGAATTGTCTGTTAACTTATTAATTCATGAATTAGGCTCAAGTTTACATGAGTTTTCAAAGCCACTGATTATCGACATCCAGCTCCTTATGTCCTGTGCTTGTGTAACAACATATTCTGTTGTTTCGAAGTAAAAGTGATCAAAAATGTTACTAAATGTGGCTCAGCTAAGTCTGAACTGACTGAATTATTGATACTGATTACATCAGACACCTGTGAGGTATTAGTTACATAGAAAGTAACCTTGGACTGTACACGTTTGCTGGTGTTTTTCCTCTGGAACTACTTTTTTTTTTCTTGGGATGAAGCGGGTATAATTAATAACTTTATTATTTTAATTACAGATATGTGAATCTTTTATAAAAGAGAAATGTTTCCTTTAACTTCTTTGAATGTGTTATCATGTTATTGTGTGTCTCCTCCCTGATATTTTCTATCATGCAGCCCACACATTTACATTTTATACTCAGACTAGAATGCACTATAGTAAAAATTTATAATCATCTTTGTGGCCTGTCATTTGCTTCGCATGTCGCCTTAGAACTGCAAACTACAAGACATGAATAAATTCACACTTTGATATATTTGGCATTTGTTTTAATGAGTTTAAAAACACTGCATGCAAAAGCCAGACAGTCTGAGAGAAAGGACTGTAACACAGCAGAGTTTCATGTTCTTCATATTATAACACTGTAAACCACCATTACCCAGTTGTCTTTGAACAATCACTGCAATGAACTCCAGTCAATCAGCAGAACAAGTAGGAATTAATGAGTCAATCTCCACATGAAGTGCCGTGTACCGCTCTACCCGAGTCCTCAGGCACATCTGTTACTGTAAAAGACACTTGAAGCTCCGATACGCACAGACAGCAAGTGTGTGACCTCATGGTCAAGTATAAATGTATTTTCTTTAACACTTTACTTTTAATTGGGGCAACTTGTGAAAAAAAGTTTCCATTTAGTTTCACCCTATAAAAGCCTCAATTCTCTGAATAAAATCAGACCAATAAAGATCACCTTCTTAGTTTCTCCAGTTAAAAGTGCTGCTCTAGATGTTTCCCTTGATTGTCAGCGTGGGCTTTCAGATGCCGTTTGTCTCACAAACTGCTCCTGTGTCATGGCTACAATAGGCATGTTGTTAAAATATCCACTGTCCATGATGAGTGTTTTGCAGGGCTCGCAATACACTGGCAGAACAGTCCTCCCGGTGATCGTGGCTCTACTGTCGTTCTAGATGAGGTGTGTATGTGTGTGTGTGTGAAGGCTTGTTCGGTTTGCACCAAGAGTAATGAGCAGCACGGGTAAAATAACGTGGTTACATCCTCTGTCTCTCTTCATCTCTGTCTCACCTGGACCAGCTCAGCAGTTCAGCATGACCTGTTTTACTGGCCCACTGTGCGCTGAGTGTGTACGAACAGAAATACAGCACATAGACCTGCCTCGAAAACAGTAAGCAACATTTTACTCCCAGATTCAGCTTGAGTGTGAGATGTTTGTATTCTGTAAGCTGCACTCTGGTTTTCATTGTCAGTCAAGAATCATCATAAAAACACATTTTATAAAAGATCATAATGGCACAACAGATTGAATTGTGTAAACCAAATACTACACCAAAATTAAAAAAAAAAAAAAAAAAAAAACTCTAAAAAACAGATATTCTCACTTACTTATAGCTCTACGTAGCAATGTATGTAGATAGTTTTGGTTTTATTTTGGCAGTTTTTGAGATATCTGTTTGTGAGATTTCTGTCTCCACTTCATCACATTGAAGGTGACTAGAAAGCCACTTGTGGTACTTAGAGCACTGACAAATTACATTAAAAAAAAAATCAACAACGTGTATCTTTCCAAATAGTAAATAAATGTAAATACTTTCCACTGAAGAAACAGTCCTTATAAAAACTGTTGATAGCAAAGTCTGTACATTATGCAGAGTATTTGTTACTGTTTGTTACTAGTGCCATGACTCTAAGGATGGCAATGTCTGTTGGAAGATGTCAAAAACGATTACATTAGATTGCCATGAAATTTTGTAAAAACATACACAGTCCCCAGATGATGAATCCTGACATTTCCTCTGGCGCCACTGAGAGGTTTAGTGAAACGTCTTGCATTGGATGGATGGTCATGAAATGTGGTACTATTAGTCCCCCTCTGGATGTACTGTACTAACTTTTCATGTAGCACCATCATCATGTAAAAAATTAAGACTTTCCTGTACTTTACAAGCAAATATCTTTGCTTCATTCATCAGCCTCAGCTGTAAGCATTGTCATTTTGAGCATGTTAGCATGCTCATATTAGCAGTTAGCTCAAAGCAACACTGCTACTGCTAGCATGGCTGCAGGCTCTTAATAACCTAATCTGTGATAACTACCAAAATTTCATTGACCACCATTGTTTGGGAGGCAGTATCTCACAGACAGATATTTCGAAACTTGGACACATACAATCCCGAAAATCTGCATGGCTTTGTACAGGCTAGAGGTAAGTGAGAAACTATGTTTTCTTGTAATTTGGATGAATCAATCCTTCAAGTACAAATACATTTCTCTTTCACTAAAATCTGTGTTCTTCAACATCATATACTGACTGAGTGAAGACATATTATAGCTCTGTTTGTCCTCTCACAGCCACTGTGGGCAGACTCGTTTTATGACTCGTAAAATGAAGTAACCTTGCTTCTTCACCTCACAAATCTGATTAGATGGGACATGGAAAAGGCGAGATCATGTTTCTGCTGTAGGAGGCTGTCATCAACACAGGCATCACTGGGTTTCAAAAGGCAGAGAGGGAGAAGCTCTGCAGCTTGGATGAACTGGCCATTTGTGATTGAAAAAAAAATCCTGCTGCAGGGCTTCTTTTATGACTGTGTGTGCGCATATGACTAAATCCAAACTGGTTTTTCTACATTTTCTGTGATATGTAAAAAGCAAAGTCGCTCTGAGGATGCATGTATGTTGACAATCTTTCTGTTTTTAAATCATCTTCAAAAATGATCCTACAATATAACATAATCACCCCTGTGTGTGTGTGTGTGTGTGTGTGTGTGTGTGTGTGTGTGTGTGTGTGTGTGTGTGTGTGTGTGTGTGTGTGTGTGTGTGGTGTGTGTTGTGGGTGTGTCGGTGTTGAGAGAGTGTGTGTGAGAAGGTGTGAGAGAGTGTAGAGAGAGAGAGGATGTGTGTTGGTGTGTGTGTGTGATGTGTGGTGTGTGTGTGTGTGGAGAGAGGTGGTGTGTGAGGGTGTGTGAGAGAGAGAGTGTGTGAGGCAGTCTGGTGTGACAAAGCAGCAAGCCTGGACCTGACCCTGGGGCTCCATTATAGAAAACACACAACCACAAACACATACACACATGCCTGCACGCCCACACTCACGTCATCTCTGAAAGCAGATCATCCAGTAACATTTCAGTTGATATTATAGTTATGTTATGAATAAACCCCCCCAACAGTGCCATCCTCCGTGGACCTGTGTGACACCATAGACACTAATACCATTCCTTGGTTACACAGCACTTCACTGCGCAGTACAGAGCAGGCCAGGATTATGTCATCATTAAGGCCAAAGAACCTTTTTAAAACAGGGTCTGTGTTTATGCTTGATCATTTCTTTCTGGGCCTGAGTAGCTACAGTACAGGTTTGCGTTACATCCCAGCACTGGTGGCGGATTTTCAAAGTTATACAATACTTCGCTCAGTTGTGCTGGGCTGGAGTAAAAGCCTGAACACCCAACAGCTTAACAGCACCAGAAGTAGAGACCGACATACTTTCTGGATCGTCAAAGGCAGCAGTGGGGAATTAAGGCAGTTGTCCCCTCAAGATTATACACGCAAAAGACTGCAACTCTTATTTGTGCCATCGACAGTTCATACAAGTCTCAGCCTGCTTATAGATCTTCATTTGTCTGTTTTTGTCTTCATCTGATTATCTCAACAGCCGTTTCACTGGAGAAGTGGCCCACTGTGATATGATAAAACAAACGGCCATTCAGAAACTCTCAACGCTCTATTTGGGTGGTATGACGACAAGCGGAGGCCCTCTCCTCGGCCTCCACATCAGAACCTGGGCGTCATTGGCATTGGGCCTCCCCATGGCGTTAAGAGGGATGGGCTCCATGCGGGTCAGCACCCGAGGCTGGTCCTGATGCACCCGGCCCACCAGCCTGGCCCTGGAGCCCAGAGGCAGGGACGGATCCACGGCGATATCGACCCTCATCCTCCACTTGATGGTGTGGAGCAGGATCTTCTCTCTGGAGGTGGTGTTGAGAGCCACCAGCCAGGTGGTGAAGCTCTGGTCCCTTTTGATATTAGTCAGTAAAGGCGTGTTGGATTCACTGACCGGGACAGCCCAGGTGACGCTTGGGTAGAAATTGTCATTCATGCTGACGATGAAGCGGGATGGCTTGGAGGTGGGGCCCACTATGGTGACAGTCTCTGTTGTGTTTCCATACCAGGGGTAGCTCACACCGTCTGAGTCGCTGATAGCCCTCACTAGGCCCTCTCGCAGCTGAGGCAGCTCCCAGCTCGACCTGGAGGGAGACAGAAAGTATGAGAATAGAAAACAAAGACACTTCTGTGTCCCATTAACTTAACGGATATGTCAGGTAATGTTCTGTCTTTAACAAATCCCATGAAAAGACCGAAACCAACAGTAAGCTGAGCCTACCGACATTGTTTTGTATCCAAAGCCTTGTGTACTTTATTCCTCTGTGCCATAGACGTCCACTGTTGTCCAAAAACCATTAAAAACACATTCATGAAGCACATTGCTGCACTGGGTGACATGTTCCTTCATTAAGATGAACATGGGCACTGAAGTTTATTTTGAGTCAATTCCACACAGTCCTGATGCAATAAAGACTCACTACAGCACCATATCTGTAGCTGGAAATAGTCCCCAACTAATGCACTACATTGCCCAGCTGTTTCAGGAAAATATTTACTTGTTATTTATTTACTTATTTACTTGTTACCTGTTTTTATATTTGTTTATCTTTGGTGGGAAAGATATGGACTTGGGTTTGAATGTCACATAAACATTGGGGAAGTCAGAAAGTTAGGAGACGGATTAACACGTTTTGTTTTGGTCTTTTTACAGAATTTGTTGACAGTGGCAAAAAATACAGAACATCACCAGCCACCCTTTAAAATGAGAAAACAACACATTTTCACATTGTGTTGAAACTGGATTAATCAAATAGTTGATCAACTATTTTAGCAATTATCAAAAAAAAATCTAAATTTACCATTTACCAGGCAAAAATGTCAAATATTCTGAGGTTTCAGCTTCTCAAATGTGTTGATTTGCTGCGTTTCTCACTGTAAATACACAATTTTTTGGTTTGGCTGCTGCTGGTAAATTGTAAAGGTATTTTTCACAATTTTTTTAGAGAAATGATTTATTGAAAAAATAACTGTCTAGCATCGATGGATTAAGCATCTCATGACATGAAGAAACATTAATGAATTAAATGTTTGGGAGTGATATATGTCCCACTTTTTTGTATTTTGGCGATGGGGATGAGTCTGTTCCTAATATTTGGATAAGGGATCGCTTGCATATTCCTGCATCTGAGGTGTAAAAAGTTCTACATTTTTGTTTGCAAAGAAAACAAGACAATTTCAGAGAGGAATTCTTATCCAGATACACGCTTGCAGTGAGACTACAGCAGCTGCCTTTAAATGGTATCTAGTGGTTCAGTATGTCAGCGGATTACCATCATCTCTTTGTTGTACCCAACAGTTTTTGTCATCTGGTGGTGGCCCCCTTCCATCTATTTGTCTGCTTTCGTGACCAATCCGATGACACCCCACCCTAAGCCCCTCTCACCCCTACACCCACCCACACACCCACTCCCTACACCCAGCAGGATTAAACACCCCCTCATATATGTTTTCCAGATAATGTGTGTGTGTGTGTGTGTGTGTGTGTGTGTGTGTGTGTGTGTGTGTGTGTGTGTGTGTGTGTGTGTGTGTGTGTGTATTGTGGGGGTGTGGGGAAGGACATGTCTCCATGGGCACAATTTGAGTGTGAGAGCAGCAAACTGTTGTTTAGCTCCTCTAATAGCAGCTTTTCTATTTAGGTGCCAAAGTCACAGGAACAGAATCTGTCGGTGGGCGTTTGAATGAAGGAGGCTGATGAGCACAGTTAACCTGCTGCGTGCACAAATGCTCCTCTGTGCAGCTCAGTGTGATGCACAGGCACGAGCACGTTATTATACTGAATGTACAAGCAATGCATTCAAACCCTCACGCAGGCTAGATTAACCCATGCATCTGAATGGGCACGTCACAGGGGTGTAATGAGGACGCAGGTGACAGATGTGTGAACTCACATGCCGACGTCTCCATAGGTGTTGTAAAATTCCATCTGGGTGCACGCCTGGATCCAGCCCACCACCCATGTCTCATTGCGCGGAATAGGGGGCATCACAATCCGCGCCGAGGCTTTGAAATAGGGCGTCTTGTACCGGAGCACTATTGGCGAGTTCTCCTCAATGACGGTCGGGCAGTGGTCTATGGTGGCGGACAGGTCGTACACCACGATGTTCTCTCGTTTGATGCGTGACTTGTTACAGGCTATGCTCTGGATGCAGCCCATGTCTGTGCAGGTGAAGGTGATGGTCAGGAGCAGCCAAGTGAGCCTGACAGGCCTGGGGAACAGCACAGCTGACTGGGACTCGACCAGTATCAACACTATGAGGCCGTGCATCAGATGAGACTGTTTAAGGCAAAGGTGGGTGCTACCACGCTGTAGGCCCAAATCAGAATCACAATAAGGCTTCAGTGGGATCACAGGAGGGGTGGGGGGGGGCAGCTGGGTCCAGTGAGACTAGGATCCAGTTTCAATCCCTCTGTATCATCAGGCTGATGTATGGGCACATCCAACAGTTCCAGGGGTCCTGCTCTGTGGCTGACCCCGTGCTCTGACCTCCCTGGAGGCTGCAAGCCAGGAGAGAAATGCCCTGCAGGGATTAATGAAGTATCACATCAATTTTTGTATTCTCTCTGTTTCCAGTGTGCCCTCTCCTCTAGGAATCCGACCCGTACGCGCTCCTGCTTGAACCCCTGCCCTGTAACCTTTGATCCTCCTCTTCCTTCCCCGAGCTGTCATGTCACAAGAGGCTTCGGGGGACCGGCGGACACCGGGGCGCCGGCAGGGGGACCCGGTGGTCGGGCGGCGAGGCTTGTTGATGCGGCACTGTACATGAGATGCTGCTGCTGCTGCTGCTGCTGCTGCTGCCTAAAGCCTGAGCGGCGGTGTTACAGTCCGTCATGCCTGTCGAATCGACGGGAGGGAAGCCCGGTGAAATAAACAAAACCTGCGAGTCCGAGCATCTGTGATGGTGAAAACAGCTTCCTCCTGTAGAGCTAGACGACACAAGCGGGTTCTCCGCGATCAAAACGAGGGAGACAGTGAGCTGTACATTCACCGACTGTAAACACCTGACATAGACTGATGAAACAATGGCATTACGGCTAAAAAAAAAAAAAAAAAAAAAAAAAAAAAAAAAAAAAAAAATCAGATAAACAGTCTCATAGTAACCGTGTAGGCCAGCGTAAGCTGTGCGGCATCCTCATTTGATGAGAGCTGCACGGCTGTGTGTCGCTGTTCAGTCTGCGTGGTGCTGAAGATGCTGAATGGACCAATGAACGGCAGAGGGAGACTCAAGGCGTAGGAGTGCCCGCGTCTGCACAGTAGTAGCTTTGCGACCTCTTTCCTCCATATTGGAATAATGCTCTCTAATCCCACAAACACAAAGCAGACAAGGGCCCAGATAACCCCCAATGGATAGGGTGTATGGCTTTTTAGATAAAACGCAACAGGTAGCTAGTCTTTGTCACATCCCAGAGATGATTTTTGAGGTTATTTAGCCCACACGTTGTGCTAATGAAACACTACTTCAAAATCTATCATTGTCATCTTTTAGTATACACCATCTGTAATTAAATATAAGAGATTAAGTGCCTGTAATTGTGTAGGAGAGTATTTGATTGGTTAGTGGGAGTCAGCTGCCAGCAGCATTATGACATTTTTCAAAATAAAACTAGCACCAATTTATGACTGACCCATGTTAAGAAGAATAGATAGATAGATAGATAGATAGATAGATAGATAGATAGATAGATAGATAGATAGATAGATAGATTGCTGCTTAATTATAGATCAAAATCTACTTTTGAATTGATACTGTGCTTACTTACATGGTGCATACTCCTAAACTGATCTGCATTTAATCAAAGTATCACACAGGAAAACTGGGGCCATATAATATTGCAGCATAGAAAATTAAACACATTTCATGGAGAGTGGTCAAGTTGCCCTCAGGTTGTGTGATTATATACTCACTTTGTCTAAACTGTGACACTCAAGCTGCTTAGTATGACTGGTCAAAATACTGTCACAGCTGCAAGAAGAGCTGAAGTTTCAGCATCATCACACAGAGGAAAATGTTATGACAAATCTAGCTCTAAAACTGTTAAAAACCCTTAGTTTTAAACATAGACTATCTGCGTTTAAAAGTTAAAAACAGATCTGTGTTTGTCTTGTCAATGTAGGTTACTGTAATGTCACTGTTACAGTTGTTATTTTATGAAAATTATTTTGAAATCCACTCACATACGCCGTGCTCTTGCGTCATTTCCGGGTGGGCGGACTGCTGATTCACAGAGGGGAAAGCAACGTTCGCACATGAAAAATATAAACATGTTACTTTTATAGACTCTATTAACTCAACCGCAGTATTTTCCGACAGGTTATCATGGTAAGTATTATTGACTTTTTATTCAGCAGATAACTGAATGTATCAGAGGCTGAGAACTGACACTTTAAATGTGCTAAACCAAAGTAAAAGCTAAACTAAGCTAAGCTAGGCTAAGCTCATGGTAACTTGGCTGCTGATGATACCAGGAATAGTTGTGTATTTGTTACTGTTGGCCTCTTATTGTAAAGAAATGAAGTCGTGTAAAAGCTCGAAGTTTATTTCCCCTTGACAAACTCTAATTAGAACCAGTTATGTTTTGTGCAGTTTAGGTCGCAAAAACACCAATCATGAGAGTTCAGAGATATCTTAAAAAATGCTCTTACTAAAAGCTAAAAAATCCAATTATTGAATTAATGATAATATACAGAAACATATATGTTAAGCTGTAACGAGAAAATGTTTTATATTTTTACCTGACAAGAAGTCTGATGGATTAGTATTCCTCTCATATTAAAAATAAATTATCCCTTGTGATTATGTTCTTAAATGTGATTTCTTCTGTATAGGTCCCTACAGACTTTAAAGCCCTAATCCAGAGGTTTTATCATCTTCAGTCTGAGCGAGTAGAGACGTATCAGCTCTTTGAAGAGTAAGTTTGAATCCAGTAATGGTAACTTGCATGCTACTAATTTACTGCGTACAAGGATGCACACATACTTTCTCGATCATATTTCCGCGTATCTCTTGGGATCATTTCTCTTCAGTCAGAAGCACATAAATAGAGGAATCTGAATTGTATGTCTCATAGATTTCTTCTCTTGTTTTTGATGTTATTCTTTGGCTGATGACTGCCTTCCAGAGGACATGAGGCCTACTTGAGGACAGGCCCTCAGTATGACTTCGACCACTACAGACAGCTGGTCCATGAGATAACACAGGCCTTTTGCGGCATCTCCAAGGAAGTGCTCGAGATCAAGGGGAGGCTGCACCATGAGTTTGACAGGCCAGACCTCTCTGAGCACATTGAAAAGCTGCAGAGCAAAGAGAAGCAGAAACTTGAACTGGTAGGAAACTCTCTGTGTGGTTTGTTTTTATATCAGGTTCAGAAGCTGACCAGAGAATAGGAGACAGCAGTGCACAAAATAAGGAAAATGTATAATAAGTATAGTATTGCTTTAATTTAACACTACATTACCTTTGTTGTGGTATGGTGGACTTAATATGTTACCTGCTGCAGACTGTTTGTCCTATATACCGGAAGTGAAGGTGTAAAGGTGGCATAATCAGCAGACATATCCAACTGTTTTAAACAAATAAACAATAAGAGGCTGTGTACAGAAGAATTAATTCAATTAATTTGTATTTTTTAATTTGTAAATTTAGTTCTAAATTCTTTTCACTGTATTATTAATGTAAATGTAACCATTTACAAAGATATCTAAGGCCTCCATTTACTGATTTGTCTCAAACATCCTCTTTACCTGCCATAACTAATGATGTTCCCTGTTTATTTTAAATTAATGTTTGCTAAGTAGTAGTTTGATACAGTTCCCCTGGTTCACCACATGGGGGCAGAATTCTTATGCAAAACATTTCATAACTGATCTCCATCCTGAAGCATTCAGTTGTTGTTATTATGCCAGCAGCTCAATCAGACGTAGAGGTTTTAAGTATACACCACCAATGGACGACAACTGTGCATGATGCTTCTGATCGGAAGTTTCTGTGTCTTTATGTGCCGTCTGGGCAGTAAACACCATTTGAGTTCAGTTAAATCAGTCAATGATGCTGCTGTGTTTTTCCAGTGGTTCTGTTTCAAGTCTGTGACATGAAACCTGCACGAAAGCTGTCTTTCTGTAACGCTCATTATGGCTGGACAGACAGTTTGGTGTTGAAATGTTAACCACTTCGGTGGTTCCCCACATTCTTGAAGTCCACATCTCATACATCTGGTGTTCAGCGTTGATGTGTAGCACTTTTGTATAAAGTTTTACACTCCTTTATAATATTAACTCAACTTCGTTTCTGCCAGTAATGCTATAAAGCTTCTATTATCTCAGAGTTCATCCTCTGTCTCTGCTCCATCCTCTGCTGATGAATGGTTTGCATAAATCTTATCTGATGTGCCTTCTCAACAGACAGCCAAGCTGCAGCTGGCCAGGCAGCGGGCCCAGGATCACCCGGAGGACGAAGGCTGTCAAGAAAAGATTCAGGAGATCAAGCAGGAGTAAGAGCAGCTCATACCACCCCTGCGTTTACTGCGTTAGCTCCCCGCTGACCCATTCAGTCACTCGTTTTCAACCTGCTGTCAGCTGTGGAACTGCTCAGGGGCTCACTTGCTTCCTGTGTCTCTCCAATTTAACAGCTTATCCTTTGTTACCACTTTTATTTAATTTTGTTGGAAAATAAATAGTCATGGATGTACACAAAACACTAATTAAACACTGTGGTGTCTTTGTTCTTCCCTTGTCCAGAATCATCAAGAACAAAGAGGCTCTGAGTGAGATCATGCAGGACTTTAAGTACGACTCAGAGGAGTGTGATTGACAGGTGACTCCCTGGGGGCCTGCAGCCGCCCCCTCACATCACCAGACAGCAGGGCTGACGGGTCAACTCGGCCCTGCTGCAACTTCCATCTTGGACTCCTCAGCTGCACTTATTGATCCCCCCTCTAGCCCCACCCTGCTCGCTGCTGCAGTTTTATTCCTCCCAGGGGGCTTTTCACATTCTGGCTGTGTATGTGTGTGTGTATGTGTGTGTGTATGTGAGTGTGTGTGTGTGTATGTGAGTGTGTGTGTGTGTGTGTGTGTGTGTGTGTGTGTGTGTTAGTGTTAATGCATGCCTCAGCAAAAAAAAGAAAAAATGCCTTTCTTGTAATGAAATTGATGAAATATGTAAATACTGAAGAAGTTAAATAATACTTAAAAGCTCATACATCTTTGTTTAATTGATACATTATATTTTTAATGATAAAAACACTTTCCAAGATATTTTCTGTTCTTTACTGTTGGTTTATACAGATTTAATACACAGTACTTTTCAGACTTAATGACCACAAGTAAAGTATATAACTTAGACAAAATCCACATTCCTTAAATATACAGTTATAAAAATATATTGTATCACGACGTTTGCTCAGATACACAACAGTATGTACACTTTACAGATAGTGGGGCCTTAGTTTATTGGGGATTAATAACTGATCACTAATTCTGCAGTCTAGAAATATCTAAATTTAACTACACTGATGGTACAAAACACAATATTTTTTAATGTTTGATAACTGGCTTCACGTAGCTCATTTGTGACTTTACAAATCCATTTAGTTCTCACTGAACTGATAGCTAACAGACTGACCAACAGTGACACACGTGGAGATATTGATACACTGTCATAACGGCCATAAGCCCTCATAACAATGTAAATTTCACATATTCAGATTTGTTTGGAGAATTGGAAAACTATAAAACTGTTTGTTAACCACTGTTTTACAAAAAACATTTCTTGACCTGCAAACATAGATACCCATACTTGGTACTTATTCCACATTCCCTCATGTTACCGTCACTGAAATACATTATATTTTTTCTTGAGTAATGCTTTATTACAATTTGACTTCAAAGTAGCATTTAAGACTTGCTTATCTTACATTACATTAAGTTAATAAAACATATGTGAACTATTACTATTTATATTTTATATATATATATATATTATATATATATATATATATATATATATATATATATATAGAATAAAAGTGCAGTTACTGCGGGCCTAAATGTAAGAGTTTGTGCAAAGACAGATTTGGCGAGCGGAAATGGCAGAAAAAGGCTGCATTGTCTCACTTCAGTTGTCTTCCAGCCGGGCCCTTTAAACTCAAGGCTGATGACCAAACACTGCAGTGTCCCTCGGCCGGGCCGTTGGACCTCTCGCACAGCTGGGACACTCGGGGCCAGTTATCTGTCAGTGTTCCTTGATGCTGTTCTTGAATTAAACACCACAGCGGTGCTGAGCAGTGGTGCTATGAATTATCGTCTTGTAGAATCTGAAAAGACAAAAGCAGATGATTCATACTGGGATAATTCAATGGGAAAACCATGTAATTTATAATCATCAGGATAACTGCTCTGTCTGGCTTCTTTTTCTCCCCGTCTTTCTTTGCATCATCTCTTTTTTTATTCTCTGTGCATCATTCCCAGCCCCCTGCTACCTTTCTCTCAAGGTAATCAATGGGAACCTGTCACGCTTTGAGAACAAAGACATTATTCAGGCGACGGCGTGTGCCCTATTAAGCCCAAAAAGCCGGAGACTGCTGAGCTTATTCAGTCAGGTAGAGTGAAGGTTTCTGTAAGTTCAAGGACTGAGCAGCAGAGGATGTGGCTGAAGGATCTGAACTCTTCACAAAGTCACATAAACACACAGAAGATGCCGGAGCTCTGCGTGCCATTTGGCCCGAGTTATTTTTGTGAAAGGGGCTCCTCATGCCAAGAGACAACAAAACACAAACAGAACACATTACAGTGGGCTGTTAATTGCATTTACATGTTCATTTCTCTTTGTTGTGGTCATCAGCTGAAGATCAGACGTCTACATCGTTAAAATATGTAATAAAATCAGAGTGCATGACTGAGAGCATATCTACTTTTATGCTCCCACTTCTGGGCCAGTAAAGCCAAAACCGCACATTTTACCTGATCATAAAGTACAGACTGAAACTTCACAGAGCCAGTCCTGTTTATGTTTGTAAAAATGCTCACCACATGGCATAACACAGGCTGGGTCAGAAATTCAATTGGGGACATCAGTGCAGCAGTGGCTGTGTGTGTGTGTCTGTGTATGTGTATGTGTGTATGTGTGTGTGTGTGTGTTTGTGAGAGTGGCTCAGCAGAGATAATGAAAAGAGAGATTCTGCTTACCTACCTGGTTGCGCGTTCTGTGCGATTTCTGCAGCCACACCCGCCATTGATCATATAGTTTGATTGACATGCCGCTGCAGCCGTACGCATGCTTGCGGACCCAGCCGAAGAACTGCTTGAGTTCCCGCCGCAGGGTGGAGTTCTGCTCACCGGGCTTAGGATCACACGAGCCGCTCTGCAGACGCTCTGAGAGAACAAAGGAGGGAGGGAGGGGGTGAGGAGGAAGAGGGGAGAGCAAAGAAAGTGAAGGAGGGAAGAGAGAGGAGGGAGGAATAGCACCAAGGTTATAGTTCGGACAAGTGTTAGTAGAAGGTGGTAGGATTACTCACAGCCTGCTCACCAGGCAATGAGAGTAGAGATGTGATGTTTCATCTTTTTGGCACTTTTTCAACAGATATGAACATTTACTACCACCCAAAAATAAGTAGAAAATATATATCAACTGAAGATAAAAAATACAATAAAACAAACAACGTCATTCTTTTAATAAATGCATGTTGTTGAGCTGCAAGTAATTCACATTTTCCCTTTTAATTACTCTATCTATCTATGTGATTATTGTTGTTGTAGGCAGTTTAAATTCCCATTGTTGTGTTGTTTTCGGTGTGTTTTTTACTTATGTACCCAGACCTCTCTGGAAAGCAGTTCTGAGTTTATTAACCTGCGAAATAACATAACAGAATTGTTTTTAGATATGCTAACAGCGTGGCTGTAGGGAGGGCAATATCAGCCTGTCTGTCAGTTTCTCCACCACTTTGGTCCAAACTGAAATACTTTCACACATTCATGTTCTCCAGAGGATTAATTGCAATAACTTTGGTGATGTCCTGACTTCTAATCTTGTGCCAAATTTCCAGATTTCCACACTTTGATTTATGACCAATTCTCTGCAAAGCTAATGACATTCCCATCATCCTCACCTGTGCTTTGTGTTTAGTCCTAATTAGCAAATGTTAGAATGCTAACATGCTAAACTAAGATGGTTGATGATTCAAAGTAGGTTTTGAGTATGTAGTATGTTCACACTAGAAAATCTGACTAAATGAAGTACTGTATAGAATTGCATATTATGAATCTGGGACACGGATATGGTAAACATACGTGCTTAACATCAGCATGTTAGTGTTATCATTGTGAGTATGTTAGCTTGCTGACATTAGCACTTCCTCACAGCAGACTCTTGTTTTTATTAATCCAGTAATTTCTTTTAGCCAACAAAATGTCAAAAATGAGAAATTCCTGTCATAACCTACCAGAGTTCAATGTTTTTAGAGGGATAGAAATTTAATTTTTATAATATCAGAATTAGAATTGGTTTACAAACGCTAAAATATTGCTCCGGTGCATTATGAGGAAGTAATTTAATAAAGAACAATTCTGCATGTCTCTGACCACCAACACTTTGAACATTTATGATGAGTCATGTTGTTTAATATTCCAAAACCAGACTTATACTGGACTACAGTTTCATATGGGCAGAAACGTTTTTCAGTTTAATGTCCTGAAGTCTGCCACGATCAATTCTTTATGGCAAACAACAGAGCCAAATAACAGCCTCCTCCCTCCTGGGAATAAATACCACATAACCTATGTAACTCATTATCTGCTCCCAAACCTGCTTCCACTCAAGCTTTATAGGCCCTGTGTGTGCCTCGAACAGACAAACCAGCTTTTTAACTTGATCAATCTTTGAAGCTGACGACAAAATCTATCAAATGTCCCCCTGGCCCTTTGCAGTTCCTTCTAATCCGATGCTGGGAGATCTCTATCGAGGTATCTAGCCTATTGATGTTTGGTTTCTCTTGGGTCACATGCGGTTTAGATCTGCTTGTTCAGGATGTTGAATCAGGGATAAGCACATTGTTTTTCCGGCTTTAATTGGCAATGAAAGGTTGATTATTAGAAAGGAAAGAATGGTCAAGATTTGTGGGCATTACAGATTTTTGTGAAGCATTTAAAAGCCATTTAAGTCATGAGACAGCCAAAGAAAGGAAAAACTACAATTATACTTTTTAACAGTTAGTGGATTGAGTCTGGGCTGTCCACAAAGCACAAACACACTTCTGTTTATACAGACTTACATTAACATTTCTTCAATTATTCACATTTGCCCTGCAACCAAAACACCAAATCCCAATGATGACTAAGGTATGACAAAGAATTACTAATGTTTTGCTTTGTTTTTTTGTTGTTTTTTGTTTTGTCATATCCTCTGTAAAGTACTTACCACTGCTGGGAGTGGAGGCGGCAGTTGGGTGACTCCAGTCACTCCAGATACCGGCCTTTCTTGAGCCATAGATGCCAACTGGGTTGCACCTCACCTGGACAAAATAGACGGTTCCAGGCTGAAGGCCTGCCAGCCGACATGATGTCTGGTTACCAACATCATCCACCACCTGAGAGAGGGCAGAAAATGTCAAAGAGGATGAAAAAAAAAAAAAATGGATCTGTAGGTGAAGGAGAGAATCAAAATCAACTCCAACTGAACAGAGATATTTTCTGCATCTTTTCTCTCAGTTTTTATTGTTTTATCTCCTGCAGGTACAGATGAAAGGGATATTTTATAATCACTTTTTTTTCCTAATTTTTGGTTTCCTGTCATTTTGAATGTAATCTGGATAAAAGTGGCTTCACCAGCGGCAAGCAAGGTTTTTCACACTAGAGTGAGATTTGCCTTATGATGAAAGCACAAACAAGGAGCTGAAGATGCAGCATGAGCAACTTTTATGTTTATTGTTCGTTGGATCAGTTGTCATTAGGAGTCATAGCAGTAGGTGAGTGTTTGTGTGTGGCTAAGTCTGCAGGTCTGTTTGTGTTTCAGTGCCTCAGTGTGTGCACCACCTTCCATTCAGTGCTGTCCTCTAGTCTGTAGCGGATCTGATATTTGGCCTGAAACAGGATGTCCTTGAGCTCGGGGGGGCTGGCCCAGCGGACCGTCAGCTGGTCGTCGAGGTCGCCGACGCGACCCACCTGCACGTTGGCAGGAGGGTCTGTGGTCACTGGACAGACAAGGACAAGCGTTGAGTTTGTTTACAGCAGATGTACAGTATGTACAGCAACGCTACAAGAGGTCTGAGTGACCTCTAGAGAGAGAGATGAAACACTGAGGGCAGACAAGCATCATATCACATGGTGACGGTAATCAGTGCTGAGCCAGCAAGCAGTCACAGGAAATTTCTATTTCAAATCTGAGAAAATGTCAGTCTGAATTTTCAACACCAACCTTATATTAAAAAGTGGGACGTGGTGTCTAAAAAACGTGACCATTTATCAGGCAGGAAGGGTATAATGAAAGATGTTACTGAGTTGCATTATGGGAAGTGTAGCACCCAGTATCCAGACTAAAAGTCAGGATATCTTTGCCACTGCTGCTTCCACTTTGACCAGTAACCCTTTAAGATACAAAAGAACATGGGTCAGCATTTGTTGAAGCAATGGATTGAATTTTCCAACCATGATAAGAAGAAAAAAAAACCTCCAGAAGTCACACTCTCATACCGTATCCATAGAGGCTCCTAACGTGTCATTAGAACAACGGGCAAGTGGAAGATTTAACTGTCTTCTTTTGAATATTTAAAAATTCACTTGACAAAGAGACTTGTTTTCTGCGCAGACTGACTAGCAGGCTTTGGTTCAGGTCAGCTTGTGCTTCCTGTAGAGAGCATGCTGTGCTGTGTCAGTATTAAATAAAACATTTTACCTACTGCAATAAAGTGTGCAAGCAAATTAAGTGCTTTGAAGGGGAGAAAGACGAAAGATAAAAAAGAAGGAGACAAAGGAAGGAACTTATTAAATGTCTTGTAAAAGAGTTTCCTGTTTCTAACCTTTTGCTTCAGACATCCTCCGCCGCTGTTGCGTGATGCTGTTTGTCAGCTGACGTACTTTATTTGTTCTACTGCATTCAGCTCGAGGGGGAGAAGAAAACCAAGCCAGAACAAATATTCTCCAAGCTCATTGTTTCTGTTATTGAGGCAGCGCAATGCATCATACACATGGCATTGCTCCTCCTCCTCCTCCTCCTCCTCCCCCTCCCCTAACCCTCTCTTAGCCTCAAAGTTATCTGTTCCTCAGTGTGCAGTGAGGATGAATGGAGGGAGAGGATGCTCAGTCACGGACAATAAACACTGCGGTCAAAATGTGGCATTCACTGGAGGCCATGAGACTACGCTGTTCTATTAGAGCTGGAGAAATAGTAAGGAATGCCTGCTATTGCTCATACATGACTAACTAAAGCTCTCATTGAGAAACCTGTGAGGCCATCACCTGTGAGGCATCTGCTGTTTTTAACTTTTAAAACAGTTTATATTAGAGAGTTGCAGCATGAACCCATAATGCTGTTCCAGCAGCGGGCTGGAGGGAGGAACCATAAAAACAAATCCCCTCTCCACTAGAGACGTGTGTTAGCCATATGCAGGAGAGCTGCAGACAAACAAATATAAAAGAAGAGAAGTGGAGAGGAGAGGAGAGGACACAAAAAGAAAAAAGAAAAGAAAACAAAAGAAAAGCACAGCAAAAGAGCAGGGATGTGCGGGAAACGAAAGCAAAGGAAAGGAAAGGAAAGTAGAGGAAAGGAAAGGACAGGAAATAGTTGTGTTAATTAACCTCAGTGATGTGCAACTACAAACGTCACTTACTCACCTACATCCAGGATGTCCAGGGTGGTGATGTCAGAGGTGGCAGAGCCCAGCTGATTGGTTGCCTCCACCCAAATCTCATACGGGGTGAAGAGGGCGAGGTTGCGGGGAATGTAGCAGGAGTACCGCTGCTTCCCCGAGCCGTAATTTTCACACTCCTTCTCTCTCCCGTACCACCTGTACAGAAACACAACAAACACCGTGACCAAAATAAATTCTGACGTTTGTTTCAGGAAAGGCACACTGACTACTTATATATAACACTTAGCACACAAGCAAAGCAACACACTGCAGCCTCTGAGTGTAGTACGTGTTACAGATGATAAATCGTATGTGTCACATACTCTGTATACATTTACTGCTAGTCTACCTGAGCGCTGTTGGACGAGGTGATCACCTGTGAGCTGCAGCAGGTCTGGGGCGCTCACCTCAATTTGTACTTGAGGGTGTATTTGGTTCGGATGTGGGTTTCACCCGGCCCCCCAGGGCTCCACTTGCAGCTCAGGTCCTTCGTGTTGCGGGACCAACACGTTAAATTGACCGGTTTTTCTGGAGGCACTGTTGGAAAAAAAGAGCCGGTTGGAATGAAAAGCCTCATTTTAGAAGCAGAGCAAGACTTTAAAACAAACTAGTGTCTGCATATTGAAATTAAATGTAGTCAAATGTAAATCAAAGTCAAAGAAAATAGGACTATTTCATTTTAATTTAATTTTAACAGAGAGAGAGAGAAAACAGCATGAGGCCAATTCTTTAGCCATTCATGTGAAGCATTCACTCCATCACTCCATTAAAAAAAAAAAATCTGATTAGTTCTACAACCGGCTTTAAAGCATTACGGACCGACAACAGAGTAAAAAAGATGCAGAACCAAAGATGAAAAGAAAGTTTACACCTTGTAAGGTTTGGCAAATACACCAGTACTGATCTATTTAAATGTTTTTTAATTGATATAGGAAATGCTCCAGATAGGAAATGTTTTCGTATCGTTGAAGAGTCAGTTATAATTTGGGCTTGCGATTCTCTAAACTACAGTCATACAGTGCGTTCAAGTTGTTGGTTGGGCCAAGAAGTTGGAACAAATAAGAAAACCAGTATGTTGTTTTGCTTATGAAACTGCAATTTTTGACATTTGTATATTCACAACAAACTGTGACAGCTGGCTTCATAATATCTTAATTTGGGATCAGTTATTTTAATGACCGCTTTGTCTTCAAAATTGGATAATTTACGTTATTATTTCTGAACATCACTTATGCTCGAGTGGCATTTTAAGTCCCTTGCGGAATTTAAATCAGGTTTTAATCAGATGTATCAATACTTTTCAGAATTTTTCTCAACATATGATTAATAGTTTTAAAATGAGAATAAGACTTTTATGTTGTTAATTTGGCAGCTGTATGAAATGACAAACATTACAAATTGACTGTAAATATAATTTTCGATTGATTATTACGCTTTTACGAGCTGATCAGCCAAATGATCCTGATGGGGTCGTGATACATTGATGCAACCTTAGTTTACAAAATCTACAATAGTTTTCTCGGCTAGTTGATCAAAAGCAGAGAAATTTTGTGATGCTTAGTGTTTCAGAATAACCTTTACCCTAGATTTAACTTTATTACACTGAGTGTGCTAAATATACTTTTAAAAATCCATTCAGTCTGTATCGCCAGCATCCTCAGCCCTATATGACTATGCACTGACAAAAGAAAGCCTCCACTTACTGCCCACATAGAGACAAGAGCCACCCAGGATGTGTCCATCTGCTCCGTGACACACCAGGTTGTCTCCAGACTGCTGCTGGGAGCCATTCAGGTTGTGAAGGGTGACACTCAGCACGTCGGAGGACGCCACGCTGAATGTGCTGCTGGGCAGACGCATCCCATTCAGCGTCCAGTACAATGTGCTGGCATGGAGGCCGAGCTCAGGCCTCAGTGTGCATGTGGCTGTCAGGCTGGAACCGATACACAGCACTGGATCCTGTGGGGAGATCACGGCTACATCTGGGGATGGACACACGCACACACACGCGCGCACACACACAATCCAATCTGAGCCTCGTTTATCTTGTTTAATTTTTTTCTATATTTAAGGCAATCTGTATTTTTTTACAACTTGGGGCTAACTAATTTTCATTATCAAATTGGGTTGATTATTTCTTCAAATAATCAATTATTGTTTAATAATTAATTATTGTATCAATTATGCTTGTTTTGTCTAATCAACAGTATAAAACTCAGAGATATTCAATTTAAAATAATATAAAACCAAAAAAAGCTAATATTTCAGAAGCATGTTTAGCATCTTTATTTCATAAATGACTAAAATCACTAAACAATTATCAAAATCATTTTAAATTCACTTGCTGTGATCAACTAACTGTTTATTCAACTAATTGTTTTAGTGCTAATTTGACTAATCACTGAATGTAAATTAGTTTTAATTGTTATTTTCCCCACTTTTTGATTATTTTTTGCACCCTGTGGCTGCTGTTGTATTGTGTGTTTTTTATGCCTGATGAAAGTCAACGACCAAAACGTTTCTTTTATTTCAAAATTAATGCTAACAGTGCACAGAAGCCCATTACTTTTTTTTTTTTGTACAATTTGTTTCTCCTGTGTGCCCGTCTACCAGGCGTACATTATGATCTACATCATTTCTACTATTAACAATCATGTATTAGGTGGCCTGCGCGGCTGTCGGTCTGTACAGTTTGATTTAAGAGTTGAACACATTGCCATTAAGAGTCTGAATGTCTTGCCAACCTTAAACAAGCTTTGTGAGTGTAGCAGCAGCAGCAGCAGCAGCACTGCACCACAACAGAGCAGGAGCACAGCACATATTTATGACCCTGTAATGAAGTGGATTTATGGAGCCTCCGAAAGGTCACCCTGGTTTGTTCGTAAAATCCTTGAATGCTTTTCCATACGGCAAAGTTTACCTTTATGATTGATGCCCATGAGAAAACCTGTGCTGTGTGTTTGAATGTTACCATTGGGCTCCTTCTTAGCAGAGATATGAGGGTTAATGTGTGGAGTTTTATTAACCGTGCTGCAGGTGGGCGGCGGACAAGCTTTCTAACATATGTGCCACTATGCTGTTTCTAGCCTCACTGGATTTAATGTGAAGAAAAATGCACAAATGCACAGAGATAAAAAAAAAAAAAACTGCATCTACATGTAAGAAGAGCGAGGATTGACCTTTGGGCCATGGTGAGCAGGAAGTATGAAATATACATGAGAATGATAACCAGCGTACATGTGTTTTACATGTTATATTCACCACACATAAAGAAGCTACTTGCAGATGATTACCTCAGTCTCATGGTAATAAATCTCTGCATGCTGATGACTTGGAATGTTGTTATCTTTCTTGCTTTTCCTTCATGCAACAGCGCCGATGAACGCTGTTTAATTCAATTTATCTTGTCAGCTTCTTCATCACCACGTCTGATAGGTGTAGTTTTCAGTGTAATTCACCGTTAGGCACACAATCACGTCTAACGAGTATAAATGTATTGTCACTGCATCTGGATTTATTTTAGTGGAAAATGCTACAATTAGGCAACAATCAGATGCTTTTTCATCATTTTTGTTGACACAAAGCCATGAGTTGGTTAGTTGGTTAAAGTCTCATCAAATTAAAAGTTTCCCAAACTTTTGCACAATATTCAACAGTTTTCCAAATAATAGTTGAGTGACATGATTATGATATAAATTTGTTTTACCATACCATATATAATCATTGTGCGTAATACTGGATTTTTATATTTATATTTTTGTGTCATAATGGTGAAGTTTCTTAATTTCTTCTAGATTAGACAAAAAAAAAAAAGAAAAGAAATCCCTACCTGATTAATTCATCCATCACCACTTTTCAGTTGATTTTGAGATCATCATACTGTATATACCAGTGTAGCAATATAAAATCACAAAACCTTTGTCACAAAAACTGTATCACCTACTCCTAATACTGCATATGATTGGACACGTACTTGGCTTCTTCTGGAGAAAATCTTGCCAAAAACAAGGTGAGTAGATTTTTGTGGTCACATATAATTGTAGTGTTTAGCATTATAATTGTTATGGTGGGGTGATAATAACTTCTTGGGAGGTGAAACTTGTGAAAAAATGAGTCATTCTTTGTGCTGATTTTAATAAAGTTAAATAATTGATTTAAACAAAAAAAAATAAAACAGGAAGTAGATTTGTTGGTTTGGAGCCTCCATGTAGCAGCTCACAGCGGGACGCACTAGTCTCGTGCGGTCGGAAGCGACAGGAACAAAGTAAGTCACAGTGAGTAGTTTCTGTGTGTCTGTCAGTTCAAGTTTGGTACTTACGTGTCGAGGAGAACAACACATGCGGAGCAAGCAGGAGCAGAAACACGAAGGAAAGCATGGCTCTTTCTCTGCTGTTTTCCCTCCTCTCTGTCGACTCTTCCAAAGACGTGAAAAAGAGACTTGAGGAGGAGGAGGAGGAGGAGGAGGAGGAGGGGACGGGACTGCGCGGCTTCACTCTCCGGCGGCTGTTCTCAGATCAAATGTGACTCTTCAGTGAAACTCAGTGGAAGACCAAACTAACTGGAGGCAGTTGGAGGGAAGCACGAGGTTTGCTTCCTATTTAACTGCAGAGAGACTCCGCTGCTGCAGCCGTAAAACTCAGGTTCACACTGTTTGCTCCTCCCTCTCCTCCTCTGTTTTCCCACACACTCACAAGTGCTCCTCAATTTGTCCCCACCCAGACACACACTCAAACGTATCCAACACAAAACACCACAACATCGCACGCTTTCTGTGCTTTTGGTAGTTTTATCACTTAGAGCCAGTGGTTGGCTTCTTCAGGTGAGCTGGTGACGCCAACAGTAAAACACCCAGGTAACACAGGAAACATCGTGTTATACTCGAGATTAAAGTTCAGGCAGTCGAACAAAGATGATGTAAATTATATGACAACTAAATGAGGATAGGCAGATTAAATTATGAAATAATTTCATATTAAAGTGCAGGAGTATTTTCCATTTTATTGTACACAAATAAATACACGATGTAATAATAATAATCATAATCATAATTTTGAAAGCGACCATTCTGTGCGTTTATCTTCTATACGTACCATTAGCCTACTGATAATACTTTTACTTCTTAATTATTACAGAGGTTGTTTAACAAAGTGAGATTGACTGACAGACTGAAGACCGGGCTCTTCTTCCACTGTAAGTACATCTCATGCTTTATTCATATCAAACATAGCAGTGGCACATCGTATTACACTTGCAATGTTTACATCTGGTGGTGTAGAAAAAACAGCGATAACAGTAATGATTATTCTTATTCTTCTCTATGACTTAGGCAGTGCATCATAAACAACAGACACAATGACAAAATGCAGCCTGTCTTTTTTCCACTTAAGTAATGTACCATTGGCTCTGAGTTCTCTCACACACACACACACACGTAGTTTTTGGCTCCTCAGCTCTTTGCATTGACCTGATAATTGTGACATTGATTGTGGCCGCATGACCCATCTGCTCTGTGCAGGACATCTGCCAGCCACAGCTTGGCTCTTATCCACTATCTGCTACATTTTTATGAATGTCACCATTGCTACATTATGCACTGCAGTGAAGGTTGCTCTGCAGGTTTGTGTGTGTGTGTATGAGATGAAGGGGGGTGGGGGTGGGGGGCAGCAGCGTGTGCGTGATGATGATGATGATGATGATGATGATGCGCGTGACGCCACGAGCAGGAGCAGACCAGCGGAGCAGACAGGACCCAGGCTGAGGAGGCAGCAGCAGCAGCATCCGCAGCAGCAGCAGCAGCAGCACCGCCACAAAGGGACTCTCCGCTCCTCCTCTCTCCAGGGTTTGAGATGCTCCGGCTCGGCGGCAGGATGTGTGGCTTCTCGGCCCTGCTCTCGGTGCTTCTTGCTGGGCTCGCGGCGGCATCCTCGGATCTCTTTGACAACCAACTGGGCGACATCAATTACTGCAAAAAACAATGCCAGCTTACCATCAAAAACAAAAGCCCTGCTAAAGTAAGTTATTCCTGTATGCTTTAGCGTAGGCTGTCTCTGCAGAAAGCGCATTATCAGCAGCGAGCTGACAGCTACATCCTGCTGTCCGACATTTCAGCGCCTGCAGCGAAACACAGACTAATACAACACAGTCAGCATCGAAAGGCGGTCACTATAATGTAAAAATGATTAATAAAACAAAATGAACGTGTTTAGATCTGTGCGTAATGACAGGCACCATGCTGGCTCCGATTTTTCGCCGCATCCTCCTGGATGCTACAGCGCACCATTAGGCCGAAAAATGGTTGTAGCTTATTTTCCTCTGCACCTTAAAGACTCGTCCAAGAAGTGAACCGCATTCAAGCTCATCTCGACATGTACTTGCCATAAACTGCGCCAGTATTTTACCACGCTTTACCCGCAATTCACATCCACCAGGCCAGACGTTGGTAATGCAGACTATGGAGCATCAGTGAGACTATTGAGAACCTTGAAACAACGATCCTTTATTACAGTTTTGCACAGCATCCTCCTGCTCAGACAAGGCCACACTGGACCGGAGCAGGGCGGCAGATGATGGCTTTTCATTTTTTTGTGAGTTTCTGAGTCTTAGAGCTTTGGCTATAGATTTCCAGTGTCGGATGTTTTCCCCCCTACTTCATCCTCCTCCTTCTCCTCCTCCTCCTCCTCTCACTCCTCCTCCTCCCTCCTCCTCCTCCTCCTCCTCTGCTGCCTTCAGGTGTGGTTCAGACATCCCGCAGGGCAGCAGGAGCAGAGCTGCAAAGCGGATCACAGTCACCTGGTTGCTTTGAAGACTGTGATTGAAAACAAGCGGCTTGTGCATATCGAGTTTAGGGTTACTATACTGGACAGCAACTGTAGAGATGTCGAATAAGCAATGGCCTTCAAACTATAGGGCACCGTCTCGTGGTTTGGCATAAACACCCCTTTCTCCTGTCTGTGAACAAACAGGGAGACGCAGTAAAGACGATGACAGGCACAAGGCTGTAATAAACCGTTCATGGTCGCGGTCAGGGAATGTCTTTGTCTCGCTTGTTCTCAGAGAGGTCACCAGAGGGCGCTGTTTCTGTACTTTGCAGTGAGAATGAAGACATTATGACGAGAGGAAGTACAGTAAGCTGCATCTTTCTCCCTCACCACCTCATTTTCCTCCTGTATACAACTGGCTCGTTATCACTGGTTTTTCCTTAACCGTGAACGAAAGCTCCCTATCAACTGTTTATGACAGGCTGTAATACAACAGCTGCTCCATGTCATTGAGAGATGCCATAACCCATCTTTGTCATAATTATGTACAGGGTTATCTTGAGTTTATCCAAGAGTGCAGGAGGCGTCTCTAATTTTGCACCTCAACCTCCCTCTTCTCTCTGTCTGGCTGCTAGGACTCCATAATGAACGCCTGTCACCGTGGCTGTCGCCTCTACTCCATCTGCCAGTTTGTCAATGGCAACGCCGGCTTCAATACCAGCAGGGAGGAGTGTCAGGGAGGTGAGTCGGTCTGTCAATCTGTGTGTGGGACTGTTTGTTTCATTGAGTTTGGTGGTCTTGGCCTGAGGTACATGTTGAAGCTGCCGAGGCCTTAATCCTTGATAAACCCAGTCAAAATGAATGACAGAACCCAATCAGTGTCATGAATTTGAACTTTGATCTACTCAGTGCACAGTAACTTCTTATTCCTGTTACTGTTACTTGGATGGTGTCTTAAAATCCTAAAATGTTTGAGTCATCCTTTCAACAAGACATGTTTAGATAGAAGTCGGACAGAATATGTCGCACCAAAGATCGTTTGAGGTGAAATCAAAAAGAGAGATAGATTTCAGATTTTCAAAGCAAAAACAAATAACAGCTACATTATATTTGCATCTGTCCCAGATCAAAATGTCGGACACAACAGCTCTGTTAAACGTTTCTCTTTTCCCTGAGAACTGGCACACGCAGTGGATATTTTCTGGGTCTTTGCGGCTCTTCGTCCTGTTTGAACTGCTGTATTGGAAATAAGTGCTGCGAGTTGCTGCCCAGACAGCAGATACCCTGTTGCCCCCTGTTTCAATAATGCGAATGCGGTGTGAATCGTCTCTGTAGGGGCCAGCAGATACATCTCGCTTGCATCTCTATCTTCCTTCCCAGATAAACATTCAGTACCTGTTTGTTTCTTCTTCTCTACCACACGACTGACTGTTGTGCTTCATGCCCACTCTCATTTTGTGCTTCCTCTTCCTCTTTCCCCTCCTCTATCTGCACTCTCAACTCCGTCTTCTTCTCTTCCTTTTTTTTTTTTTTTACCATTATGTGTCTTCTTTCATCTCGCTAGCCTGCCAGGAGGCATATATTAAGCTGCTGGAGCAGGAGGCCTGCAGCACTGGCTGTGCCAGCCAACCCTCTGAACCTGAGATCAAGAGGAGGAAGGTGAGGAAGGCAACTCTGCAGTCAGTGGCAGCACACACACACACACACACACACACACATACAGTAAATGCAGCTAAAAGGACCGACAGGACTTAAGATGCCTGAATACTAATATCACCACTAAGAATAAAAGTGTGCACACATAGGATACTGAAGGACATACGCATGCAGACAATGTTTTCCCTTGTAATAGAGTGTCCTGCTCTCTCTCCTGCAGCTGAGGGCCATGACTCTCCGCCCAAAGCCCCCCTCTGTGATGGAGGCCGTGTCCAGTTGGTGCAACGAAATCGTCAGTTCTGCTCAGAGCTTCATCTCCTCCACCTGGACTTTCTATCTGCAGGCTGATGATGGCAAGGTTGTGGTTTTCCAGGTAAGCCCAAACTAAATGTGTGTCCTGGACAGGCAGGCTTTGCATTTGAGCAGTGATTTTGTTTTTTTGTTTGGCAAAAAGTATTTGTCTCTACTCTGTCTTTTCTAGGTTTAATGTTTGAAGATATGTGGTTAAACCAAAACCTAGTTCCTCATCCTAGCTTTTTTAAATTTGATGGATGTAATGTGGTTTTGAGTTTTCTAGCAGTAGTAGCAGAAGTTCATTCTCTCTCTGGCCTCTGGGAAATGCAGTGCAGAGATATATCAGCCATGCTAAACTTGTAGCTATTAGATTCCTCTTCCTGCTCTTAAGTTCATCCTACACATTTGATGTGTGTGTGTGTGTGTGTGTGTGTGTGTGTGTGTGTGTGTGTGTATGTGTATGTGTATATGTGTATATGTGTATATATATATATACTTCTCTACAATCCTTATACTATGCTGCTGACAACAGAGTCAGATTCTGCTGAGTGTATAAGTGCTTGTCTGCAAAACACATAAACAAGTGCTCACTTTCTAAATTCACCATCCCGATACAGTATAAAAGGCCCTCTGAGACATGATGGCACCAAATTATGATATTAATATCTCCAAACCTTTTTTCACGTCATATGTTTTTTATTGGAGGTTAAAAGCCAGTCGACCTTTATAGATTATTGGTTGCGCTAACCTCTGCGTCCTGTTAAGAGTGTAAAATATATCCTGTGCTATATGGTGCTGTAGAGCTTGGTTCACTGCCAAAACATCTCACAGCCCATTTCAGTGTCAGTGCATCTGTGATGGTTGAGTGAGCAAGGGCACACAGCAGGGTGGGGGAAAAGGTGGTTGAATTCAGAGCACTGCAACCTTTTTTTTTTTTTTTTTTTTTTTAGCAGCACTTTAATTGTTTATAAATGTCCTTTTAAATTATGTCACTGCCCTCAGCGCCATGAATATTTAATAACCAAAACTCGCCTCAGGACAGAACCGCACTGCAAGATTGAACAGAGAGTGGACTGTGCTGAAGAATAAAGTTCTGGCTGCGACAAATAAATATTCAGACGTTATTTCAGAAATTTGAAAAAAATAAAACTGAAGACACTTGACAGACTCATGCATATTTACCCCCACCAAGGGGAAATCCTGTCTGTGTGTTTGTTAGGTGGGAGGATTCTGTTAAAAGGTTTGATGAATTCTGGTGGAAGGGCTGTAGAACCAAGAAGCTGCTTGCAGAGTGCTTCCAGTCGAACTTAGTAACCACCTATATGTTAAAGCTATAATAAGATTTGGTCTGACTAACCACCACTCTAACCAACCATATCCTCCAAATTTCAAAAGCTGGTTGAAAACCTGCATCTCTGTCATGGTTTTCCCATTTGGATAATGTGACTTTGATGGCAATTTTAGCTACGTAATTAAAGGGCTCAGTGGGAAATGATAGTATTTATGCTCCCTTACCCCTACAGAAGGGCTTCTGTAAACAGAGGGCTCTTTTATATGCTGAAATTCACTATTAGGTATAAGACAGCTGTTTGCAGGCTGGGCTCTGAGGCTCCACCTCATATATAGAGATGCAGCAGCCGCAGAACTTGAAATTACCAACGTTTCTATCGGACTTGGTGATGGATGTTTGCTCTTTATGGCAGTGACATGCAGGCTGAAGCGGCGAGGGGAAGCCAGGCTCCATGGGGCTGTGAGAAGACTATCAGGCCTGTGTTTAGTGGGCAGCTGGCAAACCTCCACCAACTTGACAGATTGACTCTGAGTGTTGAAACAACAGAAAAAGTCCAGCTAAGTTGAGGGACAGCGGGGGGGGGCAGTGTTGCCTACAATACAAATTATGTGGATGTCTAAAATGCATTGACTGTCTACTGTATATACATCCATCTGTGTGCTCATGTGGGTATTTGTGTGACTTCAAGCAGTGAGAATAGTTGTGTGAAGCCTCAAGCATCAACCATTCAGGAAGCTAAGGGTGGCGTTAGTCAGTGTTAGATCACAACTAGGGTTTGTCCCCTTTGAAGGGAAAAATAAGGAAAACATATAATTTTGAAGAAATACTGGTAAAACACATTCCTTTACCTCAGTCATACCCCTCTCACCACCTGCTTGCGGAACAGAGAAAACTGGTGACATGACAGTGTTTGAAGGAAACGTGACTTTGACTCATGATGCTACACTGAAACAGAATTATTATTATTATTTATTCATCCAGGCACAAGAGATTTCAGTGACTTAAGCATGAACAATCCCTACAGTGCAGTGTGTGAAGCACTTGCATGACAGATAACATATTTGTATGTAAAGACACGGCTTTATGGCGTTACATTCTTTTAATTGTGGTTTATGTTTGGATGTAAGGATGAGACTGGCTATATTCTATATTTTCTTTATTATCAACAAATGTCATGAAAAGACCAAAACCATTAATGTGAAGGTCTGTCCCTCATTACTTTCTATCTTCCCTACCATGACTATGTGTGGCCCATTTGAAAGCAGCTCAGAAATATATTTTTTAATTTTTAAATAGGGCTCAGTAATTTGTTAAAACAGCTGCTAAACCATTATTCAAACAGGAGTAAATAGCGCTTTTGTTGGGGACTAGTTTCAGCAGTGGATTAATATTACTATTTATGGCAGCAGGATATGGGATGTATGTGGGACTGACTCAAAATGAACTTTGTGTTCATCTTAATGAAGGAACACGTGACCCACTGCAACAGTGCGGCTCATTGATGTGTTTTTAGTAGTTTTTGGATAGAAATGGAGCTCTGTAGCACAGAAGAGTATGGTATAAAGATTTGGATACATAGATAACACTTTTCAATAGTTGTTGACAACTAGAAAGATATAGAAAGACAAGAAAAATATCAACCATCACCAGAATTATTTTTTAAAACTGAAGTGCTAAATCCTTATCATTTATATATGCATTTCAAATATAAAAAAATGCAACAACAACAACAGTGACGGTGAAAACTAAACTAAACAATAAAACAAGTAATGCACTCATGTAATTTATTTTCAATGACCAGATGGGGGAGCTGTAATTAAAGATTTTAGACATTTTTAACTATATCTGTGAATTTATACATTTTACTCCACATATTTGCCACATGGACCAAAAATGTTTAGGTTTGCATACATTTTTTTGTTTTTACCCGAGGGCGAGTTTTTATTTAATAATTGATTTGCTTCAAACTGAATGCAGAGATCCTTAAGAAGCACTTTATAACCATTTTCCTCTCTCAGCATGGAGGCACAAACATAACCTCAAATGATCCAAGTAAACCCAACATATCACTATTTGTAATAGTGGTTAAGAGTCAGTCTCGTTATTTTCCATTATGTGTTTACATTCATTTTTCAACCCACTGTGCTCTTTAACAGCACAAGACTGTTTCCATTCCTGAAATCAACTACATAAGAGATGTGAGATTCTGTCTTAACATAACCACCACTCCTCTGCCTTAGACCCTCTGTCTCTATAATGCTGTGATGTTTCTGAACTCTCAACCCCCTCTTTCTTTGTCTCTCTCTCTCTCTCTCTCTCTCTCTCTCTCTCCCTCTATGTAAGCCAGAGCACCTTTTGCACTCCTTCTCATAATGCATGACAGATGCAGATCAGGCTCCGTTGTTCTGATGGTTAGATCTCTTTAGTCTGCAGCCAATGAGAATCATCCCCCTCACATCTACCCTTGCCTCTCCCCAAACTCTGCGCTGGTGCTGCATCTGGTTTCAATGCACTTTGTCAGAAAACATGGCTCGCAAGGGGTAATAAACCCGGTTGTGAAATCACTTTTTCAACAACAAAAGGTTTGGAGGATTGAAGTGTTTCGGGATCTAAAACTAACCAGCCGTGTCTCACCGGCACCATCCAACATCTAGTATGTTTCAGTGTTTTGTTACTCTGGACAAGTGACTGAAGTCATTGAGTAGAAAACAGATCAATCATTTCCTAAATAAAGTAATGACAATGAATGAAACTGCATTTTGCTGATCCCACATTATAATGTGAGGCAGCACCAGTTTTATTGATCTGGTGAAGTGTCAGAATCGATGAATACTGGGAGGTTGACACTACTGCAGTGGGATATACTGTTCTGTTCTAAATAGGTGTGTGTGTGTGTGCGCGCGTGTGTGTGTGTGTGTGTGTGTGTGTTGTTGCTGAGGCCAGCAATAGTATTGTTAAACCGACTACAGCTGCTTTCGTAGTGGAGGGAGGGTCAGCAGTGAGGAACCAAAATCCCCTTTTAATGAGTTCTCCCGGGGAACCAGAAACACAGCGCACACCACGCTCTTTATCTCTCTCTGTGTAGCAGTAGCTTTAAAAATCATTTTTGTGCTGTCCCAGTACAAGGGGTTTTACTAAAATGATTTGGGTGGGTGAGAAAGATGCCGTGAAAGACAGCCAGACACATTGAACAGGCACACATTTATTTTCACATTCAGTTGGTGACGAAGTTTAGAAAGAAAAAAAATCATAATTTTTTTTTTACTTAATTCTTACCATATATTTCTTTTTTGACACAATTTGGCCACCTTGGCCAGGACAGTGGTGTTGTCAGTTGGCAGACGGTTCATCAATAGGACAACTGAGACCCTGTGTTAAAAGGCTGAGGTATCCATGAGTAAAAATCTGAAGCGCCAAGGTTGGACATGTTTGGCTGATTCTGACCATAATGACCTATTAATGGAGCAGAGAAAACAAGGAGAGAATCTTTGGTTTCACCTTATTTGGAGATCCTAAAGTAAATACACAACCTAGTATCAACAGAGTGTTGATGCTTTACTCATCTAGTCATCTAGTCCTGTTTTAATACTGACCTTAATGTAATGGTAGGTGACTATCAGCTGGGTTTTACAGTTAAATCTACTGTACATTAAAACTGAACTCAATACCTCAATCACATCATTTTCACTTTAATTAGTATCAATTTTTAATCAAATGTGTCAGAAAGTGGCTGCCACAGGTCATTTCACTCAGTTAGGAACCTTCCTAAGCATGTGTCCTAAGTGTTAATGTGGTGTTAAAGGAGTAGTTCAATATTTTTGGGAAATACGTTTTTTTTTTTTTTTTTTTGCTTTCTTGCTGAGAACTGAGAAGACTGATACCACTACAATGTCTGTACGTTAATGTGAAGCTAGCGCCAGCAGCTGGTTAGCTTAGCTTAGTTTAGCATAAAGACTACAAACGGGGGAACAGCTAGCCTGGCTCTGTCCACAGTTAACAAAAGGTATCAAAATCCACCTCCACGATCGATCAAATCAAACAATCAACAATCGAAACCACAGCTTGTTTTTACATTTAGATTTTTGTCTAGCTGTTTACCCCCTACTTCAAGTCTGAATGCTAAGCTATGTTAATTGCCTCAGGCTCTAGCTCCATTGTTAATGCACAAACACGAGAATGGCAATCCATCCATCTTCTCATTTAAATCTCAGCAAGAAAAGAAATAAATGTATTTCCCAAAATTTCAAACTTCCCCTGTAAGGTTTCAATCTTCAGGCTGCCTCTCCTCACATTTCTCGTGTTTGATTCATCTACTGTGGTGTTTCTCTCTTTTCCTTTTAGCTTCCCAGCCAAGTAGGAGCTCCTCTGTGGTGTGACCTCACAGTGTTAAACAGACTCTTCCCTGACAGCTCTGCTGGTGAATTACTGTGGTGTAATTGCTGCCATGCTGTTGTTTTTTTCTCCTCAGAGCCAGCCAGAGATGGAGTACTCTCTGCCTGAGCTGCAGGCTCCTCGATCCAACGTGGCAGACAAACCCTGGCCTCAGGTCCACTCTCACACCCAGAGGCCTCATGGTGAGAGCATAACACACACACTCTACATACATGCACATTTATCAGGCTATGTATAAGCAGCACATGAATGTTGCTGCAATATCCCCTCATTAGGTGACTCAGACGTATCCGACTCTTCTTTTTCAACATGTTGTGTTGCAGGTGTGAGGGGACATGGAGAGAAGGGATCATCCAAAGCAGGAGGCAAAGGGAAGCACCCTGTCCAGCACGCAGACGACCCCACGGCTGAGCACGACTTCCTTGGCTGCATGTCAAGGTGAGCCAGAGCTCAAGTTGCCCTGCCGAGAATCAAAGAGTTAAAGCAAACCACGCGTTTCATTGTCTGATTTCCTCCCTTCCTGTTTAATGTCAGTATGAAAATGAACATGTAGAGACTTGAAACTTGATCACAGCGAATAACTTGTCTGCTTCTATTACTGTCAGAGTTACAATATCATTGTGTTATTTAGCAACGCATACTTTCACACACACACTTTCATCTGCCTTACCTTGGTATAATGTTTTTACTAACACAAAGTTAGACATGGTATTCATTAAGACGGAAGTCAGTGAAGTTTCACATGTCTAGAGGGCGATTTGAATACCATACATGGTCTTTAGAAAAAATACAGCAAAGCATCTAAAAAAAACTAATTGAAAGTGATTGGTATTTCCAAAACACTGGTTTGATTGTTGAAATGTAATAAATGTAACTTTAATTGCATCATGGAATCACTGTGAAAGTGTATAAAGGTATGGTTGTAACGCATTTATTTACACTGAGGCTGGTTCTACTTGATGCAGTAATGATTCAATTTCTGTAATTCTTGCCCTCCTCATTCTCATTCCCTCACTTGCTTATCCTTTTTTTTTTTTTTTTTCTTTGTCCCACTCTTCTGTTCTCCAGACGTTCAGGTCTTCCGCGGTGGATTTTAGCGGCCTGTCTCTTCCTGTCCATCATGGTCATGTTGTGGCTCAGCTGTGCCAGCCTCGTCACCGCACCAGAGCAGCACATCAAGACACAGGTACACACACACACACACACACAGAGATGAGCTCAGGCACTAATGAATACAAATGAAAGCAATGACTTAATGAGCTCAAGGTTCAATTGCAAATTCAAGGGATCTGCCTAATCCTGTTTATTGACTCAGCCAGTGCTGCGGCGAGAAGAGGCACGGTATTGTTACTCGCAATTCAGTCTGTGTCCATGTTCTCCCGTGTTTTGTGATATTTTCATGTCTTAATTTGTACACTCACAGGCCTCTACAGAACTACCCGATCCTACCAGCACTTTCAACCACAACAGCTTGTGTTAGGGCATTCCTGTTTTTTTTTTGGTTTTTTTTTTTTACAGTTGATTAAATCCCTTCACAGTCATCCGAACGTGTTCTCCGTCTCTACTTTGAGTGACATGCATTGTCAAACCGTGGTCACGCACCTCAAATTTATTGTGGTCACATTGTTTAAATCTTGTATGTCCAGGCTGTAGCTAAAAAACCATACACGCATTTGTGTGCTCTGGTGCACGTCACTCTAGTTGGTCACTTTATATCTACACAGTTTCACAGATAAAACTTCTGTCTCCTTTTTACCTCAGTGAAACCACTCCGGACTGTCTGTTCCCATCAATCGTCTGTCTGCTCATCAGAGAGTTATTAGCGCTATGGTTGTCTGCATCTGCATTAAATCATTGCAAGAACTGTCAGTTTATGCAACCATGAAAATGCCTAAAACTGACACATTTTCCAGTCTAAGTTTGGTTTTAGTCACTGTTTCATGCAGGCAAATCTAAGCTCAAAAGTCAAGACAAGGTGGGTTAAAGTACTACAAGTTTTTTTTCACTGTTATCACTTGTTCTGTCTTTGGGTCTTTTCCAGCTGAGTATCAATGGAGATAAAGAGTTTCTGGACAATGCCCACAAAGTCAACCCGTATCACCTGAGTCCTGTGATCGCTGTCGCTGTGAAACAATCAGAGGAGACCCAGGAGGCGGGGCCGCTGCCCGTGAAAGTTGACCTCAACAAAACATGTGTTTAGAAAGGACCAATGAGAGAGCTGCTGTCTTGTTTCCCACAGGGTAACCATGTCTAAAAATCTGTGGCTCCTCAGCAGAATTTTTAAAAACAAATTTTTAAGAGCATGGCACCCTCTCTTCTTTTGAAACGATCTTACTGTAACATCTAGCTTGTGTTGATCAGACTTTTCAGGTTTTCAGTTAGCCGCGCCTGTCATTTCATTTCCTTGTACAGTCCAAGTATGTCCATCCTCAAATTATCCTGAGTGATCAGCCTGCTCATTGCTTATTGATAAGACGGCACTCTTCCCTCAGAGCCACGCTGGAGACAAGCAAAGAGGATGATTATGGCTGAGAGCTTTCATATCATTTTTCATGTCTAGTGTGGACAAGAGGAGACAAATGCTAAGATTCATTTTAGATTTAATTTTCCTCGTTCTCACAGGGAGTTTGGCTGAATTAATGGCTGGCTTAGAGCAAAGAAAAGGAGTTTCAAAAAAAGAGTGTGAGAGAGAGAGAGAGAGAGGGGGAAGATGAATTACAGGTGAGCAGTCCTGTGAGCGCTGCAGAAAACAGATACTGTTGCTTAGTTGATGGTCGGTTTACATAATCAGCATTGTGAACTGTTCAGTAATGTCGTCTGAAAATTGAAAACCATGTTTTGCACCTCACACAGCGGAAAACAAGTTTTTGGTGAGCAACTCATTCTCACCAAGTTCAGACAAACAAAGACATACTTACTCAAAAAACTAAAATGGCATTTTTTGTCACCTTGTTCCTCTTTGTGTGCGTGCGTGCGTGCGTGCGTGCGTGCGTGCGTGCGTGCGTGCGTGCGTGTGTGTCTGTCTTTGGAAGTGTCTGAGTATATGTGCAACTACAAACGGTGCACATTCATTTATGAGTAACACATTCAGAAGTGGAACTGGATTCAAACTGGACGCTCTGTCTGAGAATGAGCAAACGTGACACGTTTATTTATTTTCCTCTTTATTTATTCAGAATCATCGACATGAGTCATCTGATAAAGTGTTATTGAAGTGCCATGTACAGTTATTTCATCATACAAATGTAATTTCTCTGTATGTAAAATATACTGTAACACAGACTGGAAAGAGACACATAGAGAAGGAAGTTCGCACCTATTACTGTATTATTATTATTATTATTATTATTATTATTATTATTATTATTATTATATTATTGCTCTTATATCACTTAAAGAGTTCTTAGCTGTTATATGTGCCATGTGCTTTCTAATAGCTGACTATTTTGTATGTCCTATGAGCACATACTGAAGGATAACCTCTGTAACAATGTGTAATGCAAAGCTTTTAACATAGACCTTTGTTATTGAACAGAGTTGCACAGTCTTAGAGAAGATTTTCTGTTTTCCTCTCAGTGCTTTCGATGTCCTGTAACGCTCTCTTTTAATCCAGGCTATGTAGACAATAAACCGTGCATGCAAGTGACGCTTCGATAGTTTATCTTAACCGCCCGCCATGCCAGTATGGCACGACTCTACTATAGACTTGTGACTTTTTGTGTTCATATTTACTGTAATCATTGAATAGAATGTGTAATGATGAATGACATTATCCTCATGATTTACAGGAAGGACTCTCAATGAAAAAGCCATTCAATCAATATCTGTGCTGGTTCCAACTGAAGGTATATCACATGGAATATGATATGAATTTCAACCTGTATTGTTTCCTTTTTACTGGTCTGTTTATTTTCAATGAAATGATACTTACGACATGATGAATAAAGTGTTTTCATTGTACATAAATAAGAGACATACGTGTTTTTTGTTTAAGAAGAATACTTATAATAACCAGCTCACAGTCACATTATATTTTTTATTTCCTGTGAGAATGAAAATATAGCTGAAAAATTGAGAAGAAAAACAAAAAACTGTATTCAGTTTAATATGGAGCCTGAACCAGTCCAGAAGATTAATTAGAAATGTGTTACATGGCCACAAGTATGTGGACAACTGAACTTTTCTCCCACATGTGATTGTTGAATATCTTACCAAATTACAGGCATCAAGATGCTGCTGTAACAGTCTCTGCTCCTGTAAGAAAGCCAACCAAGAGAATCTGGAATCTGGCTGTAGGGATTTGCTCCCACTCAACCACAAGAACATTTGTGAGTCAAGCACTGATTTTATAAGGTCTGACTCCCAGTTCATCCCACTGGTATTTGATGGGGTTGAGTTCAGAGCTCTGTGCAGGCCAGTTAAGTTCTTCAAAACCAAACTGTTCTATATGGACCTTGTTTTATGCAAAGAGACATGGTCGGTTTGCTGACATTTTGCTGATGCTTTTGGCCATGTAATGTTGGTCATTCAGTTTATTTGCAAAAAAAAAAAAAAAGCTAAAACAAAATCTGTTATTTAAAGCCCACCAAGGATTTCTTTCTGGGTAAAGCTGCTAAAATGACATCCCTGTTATGTAATAAGTATTTCAATCCACTAGGTGGCAGCAGAGTTTAAGCTGTTCAATGAGAAATTTATTGTAGTACTGAATGAAAAATGTAAAATACTGCATCTGCTGAGTCTTGTTTTGACTTCACTTGCTTAAGCAATGACTTCTATAATCATTAATGTTATGCTTCAGAGAGGGTCAGTGTTTTAATTCCATTTCTTATCCCTTAATATGGCTGAGAGAAAGTTTTCTTGGCCAAAGGTGACAGCTGTGCAGCTGAAAAGAGAGACAGTCATGTTGAGACAGCTGTGTACCATTACAGACTAGCTACAGAAAAAGCTGAGTTGGACAAAATAGTCAAGAGAAAATGAATGGGTGACATTTACTTCACAAAATAAATTAATCTTAAAAGTTTATTTCTAAAAGGATTAAAAAATGGGGGGGGGTTCCTAAAAACATGACTGATGAGAGCTGTAACACCAGGTGAAAGCAAATGTTGATGCTGGGAGAATAAATTAAGCACCTACCTGCTTTCACCTGCAGGAGACAAAAACATGTAATGAAGTTCTTAAAGTGAGTTAGAATAAATTGAGAGCTGGCATGGTGGAACAGATTATAATCCCATACACTGCTGAATGATAGATTGGAAGAAAAGAAAAGACAAGAAACAGACCAAATTCAATCAATTCATAATCAAACCACAAAACAGGGGCAACAAAACAGAGCTTCCAGTGCATGTGTCCAATTAGCATAACATGCTGGTTGGCTGTGTGAAAGACAGACAGACAGAAGGAAATATCAAAACATGCCTCCCTCTTGTCAGATGTGACATGTAATCAAAGGGAAGAAGCTTTTCTACACGAGGGGTTTATATTACACCCTGTGATGATTAGAGACCACCTGTTTTAAACCTAATTTGCCACTGTTTGCATATGTAAACATATTAAGCTTATAATAGAACTGTAAGGCCAAAACGCATTTATGAGACATAATTTGAAAGGTAACTATTTCTAGTTTATTAAAATGTGCTTGTGTGCACACCGGACAAAATGTGCTTTTGCATGCACCCAACTTAAACTACATGAGCACATACATATTTTTTTTTGTATTTTTCAGTCCTCGCCTGTAAAAAAGTCATATTACATAACTATCAACAGGACTTCATACAAGTACAATGAAAAAGCTCCACAATACTTCTACATCTTGTCAAAAACTGCTCTGTGAATCTTCAAGGCTTCTAGGCCTAATAGTTTAGTTTAGTAGGCCTTTATATTTCATTTTTTTCTCTCTAAAAGAAAAAATGGGCGAAATGTGCTTTAACTCTTTAATATGAAATAATAAGAAACATACTGAAGCATTTTGATGCCTAAGAAACCTTTCTCAGCTGTTTTCACACTTCCTATTGGCCTTGCCGCTGAAGTGCCCACCCCCCTAGTTTGATCTGATTGGTCAGGGGAGACGTCTATCTAGGCTACAAGCTAGAGTCATTTAGAAAAGCTGTGAAAAAAATGACTTTTTCTGACAGAGAGAATGTCATTAAGTTTTATGCTGGATAGCCTGCCATCTTCCCCAACCAGCCTGAAGTGAAATGTGATTGGATCTTTACAGGGAGGCCTCTGTTTCGTAGCCAGAAAGCTAACAAACAATAGTATCAGCTAATACTACCGCAGATGAGCCTGGACTGAGAGAGAGAGGAGGAGAAGTGAGGGAATATCAGCGTAGTTTGTCTCCTTTGGACTTCTCATGAAAATATTCATAACGTGGAATACTTTTATAAGGAACCCTTTTGATTTTTGTGATCTGTGGACCCTTTTGGACTAAAGGAATACAAATAATGGAGGAATGGAAAGAAAATGGAGTTCTACACGTCCAAAGAGTAGGCAGTCACCACACTCCGCTGGTACACAATGCTGGTAGATATCAAAAAATCTTTATGCGCTTATGGTTAGCGCAAAATGAACTGAATATTTGAATTGTAGAGACTCTAACTGATCCTGTCTATATTGACAAAAATTTAAGCACCTTTTAATGGGCCCGTGGACGGGCCGGCGGGCCTTATGACATGGAAAAGTGATACTCTCCATTAACACTGCAGTGTGTGCAACAGGTGATGGAAGATTATACAGATAACAGACTTAACTTTGTTTTCTCATACTAGGTCAGTTCCTCAAGCTGTTGTGTGGGTAGAAGGTGCAATTTGTGTCTTTGACTTCCAATTCACAGGAGGTGGGGCTGGATCAGAGCTCTGACTTATCTGCCATACACTCAGACACTTTAGGCAAAGAGAGAAAAATTGCCCACTGTAGTGCCACTTCAATAACTTGACCAGGCCGGCCTTCACTATGTGTGCAGTGAATGAGTCTGGCAGCAGCTGGGGTCCCATTGATAACAAACTGGAGACAGAAAGGAAAAGGGTCTCGTGTGTGTGTGTGTGTGTGTGTGTGTGTGTGTGTCTGTGTGTGTGTGTGTGTGTGTGTGTGTGTGTGTGTGTGTGTGTGTGTGTGTGTGTGCATGTTTGTGTGTGCATGTTTGTGTGTCACTGTGATCTGGATAAAAATAGATCCCATATTTGTGTGCAGATGTGGTGGAGGAGGAAAAAATAAAAAGTAGGAACAGATTGTACTTTTCACACTGGCACGTTGACTCATTTAATGCAAATGGGACTTGTTGTCTCACTCTTTCTCTGTCTCCAACAATCAGCCGTTCTCTGTTGACGCAGGGAAAGATAAACTGAGATTTTATGGTCCTTGGAGCCTCAGGCTCAGACGACACACACGTCACACAAGTTGACATTTATGACCTGATGAGAGTTGTGTCCCTACTTTGATCACAGTGTGTGGATGATCGTTCAGTAATTCTGAGTTTGAATCCAGGTTTCCTGCACCTAAATCTCAGGAGGAATCATTTTTGACACCGTGAGTGATGCTTATTTTTTCCCCCCTCAGCCATAGCCATCATTTCATACATCAATATTGAGGTCATGAGTCCAGATTTCCCCAGAAAAAAACACAACTGTAGTGAATATTACGATGAACTTAATGCTTTTTAAATCCTTCCCCACATTCCCAGAAGCAACACTGAGCATACAGACAGGTAAAATCAACATAAAAGGTGCTGATGTTAATATGTGTTGGGCCATGTGCCGCCAGAACAGCTTCAATGCATCTTGACATTGAGTCACTGAGTCTCTGGACTCTCTGGGGGATGAACACCATTCTCCCAAAGATATTCCCGCAATTGGTCTTTTGCTGATATTGGTGTAGAGCATTGTCTAACACATCAGTTCTAAGTTTTCCATAGGTTATCAGTTGGGTTGAGATCTGGTGACTGTGAAGGCCATAGTATATGATTTTCATACTTATCAAACCATTCAGTGGCCTATGGATGGAGACAAAGTCATTCTGGAAGAAATGTTACATCAAAGGATAAATCAGAACAACTTTGCATCGATTTGCAGTGACTCTTACCGCTAAGGGAACAAGTGGACCCAAACCTTGACAGCAGAATGCCCCCCACAGCATAACAGAGTCACCGGTCCCCTCTTTGTAGGGATCAAGAATTCAGGCCTGTACTGTTCTCTTGGTGTACACCACTTGTGGAGGATATGGTGAAAAATAATTTTTTCCACATTTCTGTTGACCAGCGTCTTGTGGTCATTGCACCATTAAACTCTCAAAAGTGGATTCCTCTTTGTAATGAGGGGTTTAAGCACTGCAACCCTACTATAATGTCCCTCTCCATGTAATAGTTGATGGACTGTTCTTGCTGACACAGTCAGATCACATCCTGCATTGACATTCTCAGTCACCTGAGAAAGAGTTGCTCTTCTTTTTCCTTACAGTTCACACTAATACACAGTCATCAAATGTGTCTGCCACAATGTCCGACCCTATTTACTGAAGTCTTTCCCATAGATCTAAATGCAGATGTCACTTTAGTGACTGTTCCTATTGAAACACTAGCCAGCTGAGCAGTCTGTGTGACTGAAGCTCCTGGCATCCGTGCCCCAACAATGAACCCTTTTTCAAAGTCACTCAGATCTTTTCCTTTTGCCATCTTGATAAATCAGAACCAACAAGGCCTGCTCATCATTTTAAACCTGCCACAGAGTATGATGGGATGTTAATTGCTTAATTTTACCATGCAGTGCACCTGTGTGGAAGCACTTTCATTTGTTATGTTTCTTCACTCATTTTTTTCAGGTTTTTCCTTTAGTTTGTCACCTTCTGTATGTCAACAATGGTAACTATAGCTATGTCCCTGGCTCCAAGTTACTCTGTCTGACTTCAGTTCTTTTTCCTACCTTTATGCACTGATAGCCCTCATTATTGTATA